CCCCTGGAGAAGAGAAAGGCTACCCACTCCAGTTTTATGGCCTAGAGAATTCCATGGACTGTATGTCCATGGAGTCCCGAAGAGTCAGACACAACTGAGTGACTAAGCACACACACAACATATTTTACCATGGGCTCCCCTAGTGGCTAAAGTGGTAAAGAATCCACTTGCCAACGCAGGAGATGCGGGTTTGAACCCTGGGTCGAAAAGATCCCCTGGAGAAGGAAATGGCAACCCACTCCAGTATTCTTGCCTGGAGAATTCCATGAATAGAAGAGCCTGGTGGGCTACATACAGTCCATGGGGTTCCAAAAGAGTCAGACATGACTTAACGACTAAATAACAGTATTTTATCACAATTAAAAATATTAGGTTGTGGCAATGTTTCCACAACTCTGAGTATGCTACAGCTATTGTATAGCTTTTATTGGTAAATTGTATGGTATGTAGATTATATCTAAATAAGTCTATTAAAAAATCCTTTCCAGCTCTGGCAGTCTCTATGATGTATCCATTAATCTGTTTATTTATTCATTAATTCAACACATTTTTGTTGCGTTCCTGCCGTGCCAGCTGTTAGGAGTAGGGAGATAAATAAAATAAATGCAATTCTTGGCCTTTCCTTGCTTAAAACACTGTGGGTTTTAAAAAGTAATCATAGCTAACATTTATTGAGTGTTCACTAAATCTTGAGCATTGGCAAAAGCGCTTAAATATACCTTATCTCATATGGTTCTCCCAGCTGTGTACTGAACTGGGCTCTTCTTGAATAAGGAAATTTGCTCAAGATCACACAATCAGAATTTGAACCTGGTCTATCTTACCTTGAAAGCCTTGCTCTTAACCATTCATCACCACATGTGGCAGCTGGGTTCCAGCACCCAAAATTGGGGTATTCCCTGGAGAGCTGCCCATAGGCCTGTCTGACAGTCTGGCTGATCTGGGTAGCATTGCAGGGAGGGTTAAACTTAGAGATGAAATGATCTCTAGGAGGAAGTGGGTTTGGAAAATAAGGCCTAAGTCCATGGAATCTTGCACAACCATTTACAGTAATCACTATAAATCGGGTATCACTGCATTTTCTAAATGTTACATGATTAAATTTTAAATACAAATCAAATTCATAATTAAATTTGTATCATTATGTTAATAGATAATATATTTATTATTTATTAAACACAGACTATATACCAGCCTCCAAGTTGTTGACCATCTTATATAATCCTCCTGACAGATCCATGATGTGTACAGTGTGTTACTATTCCTATTTTACAAGTGAGGCGGCTAAGGCACAGAGTAGTAGTCAGTAGTTTAGTCGCTAAGTCATGTCTGACTCCTGTGACCCCATGGACACAGGAGCCTGCCAGGCAAGAATACTGGAGTGGGTTGCCATTTCCTTCTCCAAGGAAGACACACTCCAGGGAAGAGTTTAAGTAATTTGTCCAAGGTTGCACAGTCATTAGCAGAGCTGGGATTCTAGCCATGACTTCTTGACTTAGTGTCCAGACTTGTAGCCACCACAGAAATTGCTCTTCAATTATGTTAAGATATGCAAAATAGATGGACAGGAAACGGGTTGTATCAAGATGGGGGGATGACGGCGATTTCCCACTTTCCCCCCACCCCAGTAATTTATTGTTTTCCAAGAATACGTCATAATAGTGATGACTTTTTTAGACCAACAAAAGAAATCGCAGGTCACTGGGACCGTTTTCATCTCCTTACTTCACGGTTTCATTTTGTTGTATTTGACTTTGCAGTTGCTTGTGCGCATGCGCAGACTAAGCTTGCGCAGTTGCGCCCACACGCCGGGGCTGGGAGAGGCTGACCCTACGTGGGCTGCCGCTGCCATCTTCTGGGGAGGGGAGGATCACACTCTTCTCAACACTGAGGACCTCTCTTTAAAACAAGCTTGTTTTTCTAACTTGTGTGAGAGTCTGCGTCACACTGTGGTTAAAGGCAAAATGATACCTGGATTCGAATCTCGGCGCTGATGGTCTCAGTATCTGGGCAACTGCTCGAAGCCTCAGCTTTGTCCTCAAATAATGGAAATAATCAGTACTACTGTATGGGGTCATTGTGGGAGTTAAACTGGCCGGTTTCGAGATGGACCTAGGGTGCCCGGCACAGTGTAGGGTAGATAAATAGATGCCGTTCTGATGTTTCTCTGGCATCTTTTTGATGATTAATTCATGTGGTTAAACATTTTTCTCATAGTAAACACTGGTATTTCTTCTTTTCTGAATTGGTTGCTTGTGCCCCTTCCTCATTTGTCTACTGGCGTCTCGATTTTACAGTGTGTTTGAGTCAGAGACTAAGAGCATTCTGGAAGGGTCTCAGTGAGGGGAGGGATGAGGAGTAGAAGTCTTTTCCCTGGGACCCTGATGCCTTTCTTTTTTTCCAAGGAGCATTGTTTACTGCAGCCTCCTCACTCCCTGCAACTGGCCCTGTTTCCTCCCTGGGAAATTTTCATCTGCCTTAAAGGGTCAGTCATTTGAACAGCTCATTCCCACTGGCCTGCTACACCCACCGATCTCCCACGGGTGATCTCTTTCTGCGTCCAGTGAAATTGTGTTCCGTCAGAGTGGCTGTAACCAGTCTGCTCTGAGGCTGTTTCAGGAGCACGTGTCCCTAAGCAGTGCGCTGCTCCCCAGCCCCGTGTAATCGCACAGACTGCCAAATAGCTGACCTCTCTGGGCAAAGTGCAAAAGCCTAAGGAACCGCTTAAATAAAAGGCACATTCTTCAGATAGTTCCACCTCTTTTCCCGCTTGCCTGGTGCCATCTTGTCTGACTTAGATGCCTACCTTTTCTTCATCATGGAGCAAAAGAGACCTGGGACATAGAATTTGGAGCTTTCTAAATTGCAAAAGGAGTCAAACCTCCCCCCAGACAAATGATTCCTGATGGAAAGGTTTTCTTGGATAACTGTGTCTGGTCCAGGGGAATTTTGTGGGTAGCTTGGTGGTAACATGAAATTGGCTACTAGTCTTAAGATATGTGTCTGAATGAGGTGTAGGGGTAGAGACATGCCAGTACCCCAACATGGTAAAGGCCAGAGGCGATGGAGAGGAAGCTCAGATTTCCTCTCCAAAGTTGCTGGCTTTTCCCATGAAGAACTTCCCTAAATGTGAGATCACCTTCTGCCTTGAGAGCACTAGCACTGAAGCTTACATCCTGGAGTCCTGTGTCTCCTGAATTCACCTGCATGCCCAGTTCAGGCTGTGTGGTTTAGGGGAAAGAGTATTAGAGTGGAAGACAGAACATCTGGGTTTGAATTGAATCTTTGCCTTTTCTTAGCTTTGTAACCGTGGGAACCAACTTTGTTTTCTCATCTGGAAGATGGGGATAAGATTCCTGTTTCTGCTCACCTCTGTGCTTGGCCATGGAGTAAATTGTGTGTACTAGGTAAGGGCAAAAGACAGAAAAGACAGAAGAATCTCCTCTCCTCTTAGAGACATAGGCAGTCAGCACCATGCCTGAACCAGTACCTTGTGTGGAGCTCAGAGAACTGAAAGTGCTACCTGTCTTCAGGAAGAGATCTGAAGGAGGGAGGGAGACTTGGTTCGAAGTGTACGTGTGTGCGTGTATGTACTTTCCTGTGACTCTGCTGTCCTGGCACCTGAGCCAAGCTGATCTGTGGCACTGCTAGGGACTAATATTTTCATCCCTCATTCTGCTGAGTTTTTTTTTTTTTTTTCCCAGTCTGATGAGAGGCCTGGCACCTGTTGGAAAGGAGAGGCACTTTCTTGGTACCTCAGGGAGTATCTGAAGAGGTCACCTGTGTTTATAGCTGTTGGTATCGTGGATAAGTTCAGTTTGACAACCTTTATGGAATGTTGAGCTCATGATGCTGGTCTGGGAGACAGACACAGAGGCAGCAATTAGAATTCAGGTGACAACTGCTGCAGTCGAGGGCCGAAAGGAGCAGTGGGAAGAGGAAGGCTGGCTACAGCACTTGGGGGGGCGAGGGGGATGCTGCAGAGAGCTGGAGGGGACAGATGGGAACTGGCCAGTGTTCCCTGAAGAATGTTGGTTGCTTCAAGAAAGGCTCAGTTCTGCGAGTAAGCCTCACCATTTTGTCTTGAATAAGGAAGAATTTATCTTGGGAGAGGAAATGGGAGGGCTTACCTCTGTCACATAGAGAAAGCAGAGAGGCAGAGTGGGTGGCTAGAAAGTCATGGGCCCTGGGGAATGGAGAGCTCTTTTTAACTCAGCTTCCTGGTGAAATGTCTTATGCCTCTAGCCATTCTCTAGCCAGTTCTGAGGGGATGGTTGATGGTCATTTAAAAGCTATCAGAGAGACAGTTTGCACCTCTGTATATTTTTTCGTATAACGGCAAAGTGTATTTCTGATTTATTTTTAAGTTTTGATGGTTTGGTCTGCATGCTAGTTAAATACTTTTAACAGTTGAAACAAGTGAATGTTGGCATTTCCTAGCTTCATGCATCACATCATCCCATGCCCTTCAGTAAGTTTGTTAACCTCTGTTTTGAGCAAGATGCTCTAAAGTCTTGCAAGGAAAGTAAGAAGTGTGATCCAGTGAAGTGGGAAAAACACAGAATCTATCCCAGGAATCTTCATTTTAATCCAGATTCACTCGTGGGTGAGCCAAGGGAAGTCACGGTCTCTCTCTTTACCTGTCCAGTGGGGTCGCTCAGCCCTGCCCGGCTGCTTTAAGCTGGAGGTGAAATGCTTTCCCAGTGTCCTGGGCTGGATGCAGTCAGGGTGACACTCAGCTCTGGCATCAATTTCAGTGTCAGTTAGACAGGAATCTGCCCTGGCCTCTGAGAACACATCTTGACAGGCAGTGTCTGCAGAGGTCAGAGCTGCTTCGACATGTCTTCCTGACGGGGCTTTATTTCCAAGGACAGTCTCCTTTCGCTAGAGCCACTGAAGGTCAAGGGGATAATCTAATCCTTTTGCTGAGACTGTATAAGGGAGCCCAGACGCTTTCCTGGCCCCGTTTGGACTGCACCCACCCCCTGTATCCCCTCCAGGTCCAGTGGTGGTGCTAGCTTTGCAGAGTGTCTGTGCCTGCGCCTCACACCTGCCTCAGCTCCAGAGAGCTGCGGCTGCAGTGGGCTGGCCGAGCCTCTTCACGCCGCCTGCCTGGGACACCCTGAGACCTTGCTCTTGCACAGCTGCCGTCTCCCTGGCTCCTGCACCCGCCCCTCTGAAGTCACTGGTCCGCGCTACAGTTGGAAGTCCTGCCTGGAGCTGGATCCTTAAAGAAGGTACTTCCTTGCCTTTCTCTTTCTGCCAGAATTGGGTGCGTATCGGTGCTGGGGCATCAGATTCGTAGAGCGGCAGGGAGCGGGGGCTGCTTGTCTGGCCCCAGGAGCTCACTGATCATTGTTTCTTCCCCCTCTGCCCTATAGACTTCCAGTCGCTGATTGATGGGGGCAGTGAGCAGTCTGGGGATTGCTCACAGAAGCCTTGCTCCGCTGTGGGATCTAGGAGGTGGGTGGGCGGGGGAGGAAGTTTCTAAGACAGAGATTGGAAGAAAGAGATGCACCACTGGAGGGTTTCAGCTCTTTAGGATGCTGTGCTCTCATTAGGAACAATTTTATTAATGAGCCACTCAGCTGGAGGAAGGGAGGAGGAAAAGCATAATTAATTATGACCCCTGTCCCAATGGAGCTCCTAGCTCTGGGAGAGTACAGGGAGAAAGGTGTGTACCATTTCAGCATCTTTAGATGCATCCCTCTAAACTGCTAGCAGCTCTGAGAACGAACTTTCTAATCGAATGATCTGTGCTTTTTCCTCTTTCTGCAAGATCTAGTATCAGCTTATTGAGCATCAAATTCCTTTCTGACCCCAGTCCCCTCTTCCTGAGAGCCAAAATGAAGTCAGTGTTTGCTTTTCCAGCAAGGTCACAGATCACCTGACCAAATCTTTAACAGCTAGGGAACCAGTGCAGCCGTGCTGAACTCAGGAGCAATCAGCTCCGGTCCAGCAGCAGAGCCCCCGGGAGGAAGTGACTTCTCTGGCTCCAGGCTGGGGTGGGGGGAGGATGCCAAGGGAAGGTACTGTGGTCACTGCTTCCCTCCTGACCGTTTTCTCTTCTTCATGAAGCTCCAGATTCAGCTGCTGCAATGCAGGCAAAAATGACAGACACGTGCAGAAAAATGTGGGAATGGAGTTAATGGGATTGTGTTAATGAGATTGTGTTAATGTGTTGTTTATTGAGCGTGAGTTATCTCTTTGTTTCCTGGGTTGGTGGGAAGCGAGCCCGCTGGAGAACTCTGTTGGTGGAAGCTTTTCCAGGAGTGCGTCTCACTCCCCGGGTGCCTGTGCTTTAGCCCTCTTAAGTAGCTCTGTCAGATGCCTCCGGATTCTTAGCACAGGGGACATTTCCACTTGGAGGTGTGGGGCCCTGGAGCGGGGAAGCGGGAAGCTCTAATCATTTGGGGAGATTGGTACCAGGTATCAGTAATATTTTTTCCTCTTTTGGAAAGAGCATTTTTGTCTCTGCAAGAGGTCGTGCAGGGATTGACAGATCACTGTTGGTGCACTACCTTGCTAAATATTTGACTTTGTTAGGTTGAATTCTCCAAGAATTCTCATGGCAATAAGACTGTGCTTTGAGCCAAGTTTTCTTTTTAAGGAAATCCAAGGTGCTATTTATTTTGGCATGCAGCCTGTTCTGGGATGAAATATGGCATTTTTATTATTGCAGAATAAAGAGACGTTTGAAAGGAACACAAGTACAGAGCTAGGTTTCAGTTTCAGGGCTAAATAGAGGAAGCTTTCTTTGTATTTGGATTTGGGGTTAAAAATGGTATCATTAAAAAGAATCAATGTGGAGGGAGAGGGTGTGAGGATATACTGAGGTGTTGGATATACTGAGGGAGTTGGGCTGACCCAAGGAAATCCATGCTCCTGGGCATGGGCTGTGCTGGAAATGTTTCTAGTGTGGCCTGGTAGTTACACGTGGGCCATCACTGCTATCTGCCAGTGACTGCCTCTTTGGTCGATTTTGAGCCGAAAGCTTCAGTCCTCATCTCTTCACTGCACATTGACTTTGAGAGGCAGGGTGGACTAATGCAGTCCTGCCCCTAATTAACTGGATAAATTTGGATTGGCCGCATAGCTTTTTTATGTCTTTGTTCCTTATCTGTAACTTGGAGATGATCTGCCACATGTTAGGATGGAGGTGGATGGAGAGGGTGGGAGTGTCTACAGAAATGAATTGTGTAGGAGTTCTGACCTTCACAAACCTAATAGGGGAGAAAAACTAGAAAAAGACAAAGTTGTATATACTTAAAACATCTAGAATATGATGAGCTTGTGAGAGAGGTTGGGAGCTAACTGGGCATACTCGATTCTGGCATAGGCCATAAACAAATGAAAAATTACATAACACCACTAGGTATTACAAGGTTCGAACACTGGGCAGGCAGTTTAACAGAACATGTAATAAATTGCTTCTATGTCAAAATATTAAATGCTCCAGGAGGTTGCAAAATTCCATTTTAAAGGGAAATTCTGTCCAACAAAGCTATTTTTCATATTCTGTTGTATTGCAAACAAAGTAGCGTGTGTTGATACAGCATTTAGTCTTTGATTCCACTCCCCTAACCACATCAAACATCCACTCACTCGAAGAAAACTCCCTTAGCTAAATTCTGAGATGTTCACCGTAAGGACCCTGGGCCAAAGGGGAGAAGGCTGGGGTGGGTGGGGCTAGAAGTGGCATGATGTAGACATGACTGTCCCCCCTTTTCTTTAGAGCTTTAGAGTGAAAGCTTGCTTGGCCCTTTTCTTCAGAGAATTGGGTTATCAGCTCCATTTAATTTCTCTTGCCTTGGAATGATTAATTTTAACGAAATTCAAGTCTAAGGGAATGATTAGAGGTCTCTATAGAGTTCTTTTTTTTAAATGAAATTTGACCCCAAGCGTGCTGCAAAGTTATTTGAAGCTCTATGATCTGGTATATGAAGGACTGAATTGTAACTCTAACCAAGGGCAGTGGGTGTGACCGAACTCCTTGAGGTGACGGTGAGTTTCTGCAGCTGGAGGTTCACCTGCACCCTCTTTCTTAGGAGGAGCTTTCTTACTTGGTGTCCAGCCTCAGAGAAGCAGATCGCACTTGGCCAGAAGGACTTACAAAGGGAGCCGTCCTCCTTGTGCCTGCCCAGAAGATGCATCATCTGCACTGCAGGGAGAAGCAAAGAAGCAGAGTCAGGAACTTTTTCCCTCACAGAAAAGAGCTAGGGATCAGTCATCAGGCTTGCTTACATTAGTGGACAAATGTTTACAAATCACTTTCGTTCCCAGCACAGACTTGAAGTTGACTTGACTTAAGAGCAAATCCTACACGGACACTGGCTTGTTATGTAACTTGGGGCAGCCCTTTAAACTCTCTCAGCCTCAGTCTCCCATCCAAGTACTAACCGGGACTGACCCTGCTTAGCCTCTGAGATCAGACGAGATTGGGCGCATTCAGGGTTGTATGGCTATAGATAGCCTCAGTCTCCTTATCTGGAAAATGGGGACAATAATAACCCTCTTGGGTTATGGTGAGGCTTACATGAGGTAATTCGAGTATGCCAAGTGCTCTGAGCTCTGCCTGTTACTCAGTAATGTTATGAGGTGGGAGGAAGAGGGATACAGAGGGAGAGAAGAGGCCGTAATGATGAAGGGGCCAGGTATAGGGTTTTGTCCCCACCCTTTTCCTCCACACTTTTCACCTGGAAGCTGCTGGGCCTCTCGTGCCCCACCCCACCTCACTGCATCTGGGAGTCCCCTTCACTGGCTGTGGACTGCAGAGCTGGGGCATGGAGATAGGCAGCAGTGTCCTCTGCCCAGGAACCTTCTCTTTCTTTTTTCAATTGAATTATAATTGACATCTAACACTGTGTAGTTGTAAAATTGACATCTAATACAGTGTCCAGCATAATGATTTGATATTTGTATATGTCGTGAAATGACCACCACAGTAAGTTTAGTTAGCATCATTATGTCACCTAGTTTTTTTTGTGTGTGATAAGAACTTTTAAGATCTACTCTCTTAGCAACTTTCAAAAAATATAATACATTGTTGTTGACTATAGTCACTATGCTATACATTATACCCCCAGGTCTTATTTATCTTAGAACTGGAAGTTTGTATCTTTGGAGCCCCTTCACCCATTTTGCCTACCCCTCACCCACCCAGCTCCTGCTTCTGACAACCACCAATCTATTCTCTGTGTCTATGAATTCTTTTTTTTTAAATGAAGTTGGTATTTGTCCTCAGATGTACCTGAGGGCATTATGGTCAGTGGACTAAGTCAAAGACAAATACAGTACATGTTTGTGTTATCACAAATGGTAAGATTTCCTTCTATTTATGGCCAAATAATATTCCACTCTGTGTGTATACACTTGCACACACACACACACACACCACATCTTCTTTACTCCTTCATCTGTTAACGGACATGTAGGTGGTTTCAAAACTTCCTCTTTCTAGCAAGGGTGGTCCTCCCTCAGCCCTGCCTAGGACCTTCCATGACTTTCCATTGTCTGCCTGCTCAGTGGCCACTCTTAGCCTCCAGGACTAAATACAGTCCACATATATAAATCCACATTTATCTTTCTTCTCCCTAATTTCTCTACTCCAGCTCCATGCTGCCCCCCAGTTCAAGTACTTGTTGCCACAAGGTAAGTGACTTAGTTTCTGTGATCGTTCTGTAAGGAGTGTCTCTGCCTACAGAAGCCCTGCCTGCCCTTCCAGGCTCCATCACTCTGCAGTGGCAGAGGCCCTCTGGCTGCTGAGTGGACTGTGGTTATGGGAAAACCAAGACAGGAGCGGGTGACGGCTTTGGAGACAGTAGCCTCGCTTACAGAGAGAGTGTACACCAAACTTTCCATCAGGCAGACTTCAGACTTCCTTTAATTTGGCAGGTCTCATATTTCCCAGCCTTCTTCCCCAGTTTGCTTGTTTGTTCCCCATTTTTTATGCCAGGTTGCTGGGGGCTTGCCGTCATCCTTCTCTCACTTCCAGTTCCCCCCAGCCTTTCCCTCATCCCTCGTACGTTTTTCTGATCCAGATGTTGTGGTCAAGCACATTGGAATTCCTAAAACAATCCTGTTTCCACTGCTGAGGTGTCACAGATTATTTATTATTCTGGTGTGTGTGGAGTTAGACTCATAAAAAGTCAGTTTCCTGGGTGATTTATTATATTGGGGGCAGGAGCCAGGTTGTTTACCATTTGAAGAAATAGTTCTGGAAAAGGATTGAAACTTTGGGGAGAATTTATGGTCAAACCTCAAGGGACTCTAATTCAGAGTCAGGAGAGTATTCTGCTTTCTAGTCACCGATGTCTTCTGGCCACCTAGGTCGAATGAACGCCTCCTTGTTCTGCCCATGGTTAGAAATCACGCTGAACTATCAGCTCCTTGTCAGTCCTTCCAGTTAGTTCATCTTTGTCTTGAGTCTGATTGGGATGTCACAGATCATTTGAAGCTTCTCTGGTTCTAACTTTTCCACAAAATGGTTTAGAATTCGTTTTCCGTGATGCAAGTGAGTAGGTATCAGCTCCTGATATTGTGGAAAGCATACCTAACTGTTTGTTGGAGCCCTGGGCCCAGTTTCTTCACTAATATGCTGAGAGGTGTTGCACAGAATAACTAACTTCTAAGCCTCAGTTCCCTCATCTGCCCAGTGAGGGAGTCGGACCAGAGACTTCCTTTGGTGTCAACCACTGCTAACATCCCATGAAGACACACCCAAGATTGGACTCTAGGTATTGTGTAAAGGCTTTTAATCTCCCTCCTTGGAGGGCTAAGAGCTCACGGGCACCCTGGGACAAAGGTGAGGAGGGGTCCTCTATACTTATTCTAACTGTAATGAGATTCTCCACTTTTCCTTCCTTCTTCCTTTCAGAACTCTCCAACGAATTGTACAGACTTATTGGATGAAGAGTACCTGAGAGACTGGTGGTCAACAATCCCTAAGATGGAGAAGACAGATGGTAGGCAGGCTCTTTTGTAGTCCCTGGTCTACAGTGAGCAATTGGGTTGGAAAGAGATTATTACCATAAATCCTGGACGGCTTGGGGGAAACATGGGAGACCTTCCCCATATAGGCGGTGCTGGGAAACCCAAACCATGTATTTCAGGCATGAACAAGAGAAGGTGGTAGGGAATGAAAATGAAGCCTTATGTTTATATTGGACTTTGTAATTTTTGGAGTGTTTCTCATCCTTTCTTGGCGCCAAGAAGGGAGCAGGATGACCTCCCTCATGAACCTCATTTTAGAGACATGGCATGATATGGTAAAAGAGCCAACATTCTTACTTGAGTGGTCCTCCAAGGCATTTCACTTCTCTGAGCCTCACTTCCTTCATGTGTCAGTTAGCTTTGAGGCATAACAAAACACTCAAAAAATAATATCAGTTTAAAGGTATTTATTATTTCTCAAAAGATTCTGTGGGTTGGCTGAGCCTTTGTTCTGAGCTGGGCCAACGTGACTGATCACTGTTGGACTTGTTTATGTGTCTGTGGTCTTCTGGGCAACTTGTCCTGACGGTTTAGGATGGCCACACTCACATGTCTGGTGGTTGACTCCACATCACCTGGGGCATTGGTGATGATTTGGCCCTGTCTCTTTTGTTGTCCAGCAGGCTGGCTGAGGTATGTTCACCTGTTGACAGAAAGGTTCCCAAGCACCGTAAGAATAGACAAACTCCTGTGTGCAAGCAACTTTCAAGTCTCTGCATGTGTCACATTTGCTGTTGACCCACTGGCCAAAGCAAGTCCCAAAGCCAAGCTAGGATCAGTGTGGGAGGGAAGTACACAGGGTGGGTTATAATTGTGGCCATTTTTGTTAATAGTCTGCTACACCTCATCTATAAGCAGATCCTAATACCTACTTCACAGGGATGGGAAAGGACTGAATGAGATAGTGCATGTAAGGTTGTTGAGTAATCACTATCTAGCCCAACAAATGTCTCAAGGAGTGTTCCTCCTTTCCCCTCGCTAGGAAATTTGCCAAATGTCATGGACTAGACCCTGATCCCCTGACTTCTAATGAAGTGTTTTTTCCCAAATCACTGAATGACAGGAAACAGGAGAGCCTAGATGGCCCTTCACTGGTGCAGGGCTTAAATTCTGGACAGCAGCTCCAGCCCCTCCCTACCCTCCTTTCCAAATGCAGTTACCATCTATTTCAAAAGTCTGCCTGTCTCCCCAGAGAGCTGCCTTTTCAGTGCATCCCTGGAAGTGGTCCCACAGAACACCAGCTAATTCCCTTAATGCCCCGGGGGCCTGTCATTTCTGCTTGCCTCATTTGTCCCTGCTCAGCATCCTCTGCACAGCTGCTTGCCACGTGATCACCCACAACCAGCTAAGAAAGGCAGCCGTCCCTTCAGGCCCACACATCTCACAAAATAAAGGCAGAAGAGGGAAAAGAGTTTCCGCTGTCTTGGCCTTTTGAGGAGGCTTGTTTAATTCCTCTTCTTTCCGGTTGTAGTTTTGGCCATTTTCTCTCTCGTTTCTGTTTTTCCCATTTCCTTCAGAAACTGAGTATAGGCTTTTGGACTTTTCCGCATCATTTTAAATGCCTCTAATGGATTCACTTACCTGCGCTGCTCTTCACTTTGTCCCTCAGGGCAATGACTGTGGCACCTCCCTCCTTTCCTTGTCTGTTTCTAATCTCCGTCTCGTGTCTGTGTTTAACTTCCGCTCATGATTGCGTCTGCAGGTTCCTTTTCAAGGTCTGGTGATCTGGGGGCTTTCAGACCAAGACTCTAGAGAATTCTAGGTGGCTCTGAGCCTCATATTTGTTGCCATTTAGGTGCTCAGTAGTGTCCGACTCTTTTGCGACCCCATGGACTGGAGCCTGCCCTGCTCCTCTGTCCATGGAATTCTCCAGGCAAGAATACTGGAGCCTCGTATATCCTACTTTTTCCTTCTCCCCTGACTCATTTTCCCAGTTTCTTCAGAGTTGGTTTCTTGGATTCTCACTCCCTCCTGAGGCTGTTATCCTAACACAGAGTTAAATACTCCAAGAGAGAGCTCAGGCTCAGTGAATACCCCCTGCCCCATTCGGAACCAGCGCATCCTCGTTTTTTGGCCCCTTTGTTGAGTCCCTGTGTCATGTTCTCTGCTGCATCAGTGCCTACAATCAAAACAACTCTTTGAGTTAGGTATCGTTATTGCTGTGTTATAAATGGAGAGATTGAAGCATAGGGAATTTAAGTAATTTGCCCAGAATCACAGAGGTAGGAGATGACAGAGGCAGGATTCAACTCCAGCCAGTTTGGCTATGTGTTGGTGTGTCTGATCTGAAGTTCATTTCAAGAAGACAGCTCTCCTAATTAATTCTTGCCCTGGCCCAATGCCTGGAATTATGAGCTCCTGCATACCTATCACCAGGTAGAATTAAAAGGGGCAGAACTTAAGGTGAACACAGATCTCCCAGTATATCAGATCAAGATCCTTCATTCAAGGTCCAACATTCCTCTTGCACTGGGAGAAAGAGAAGGAGCACAGAGTGGTAGGTGGCAAGCACAGCAGTGCAATGTGCTTGTGTGTGTGTGTGTGTGTGTGTGTGTGTGTGTGTGTGTGAAAGAGACAGAGAGAGAAATATACCCCTACCTTGGGAAGCACCTATTAAAGCCATCATCGGGGTAACACTCTTACAGACATCTTTGGTTCACCTCAATCTTGCTTGTGGAATACTTCCCCTTTGAATCTGCTGTCTCTCATTTGATGCCTTTTTTGTATTTGTGCTCTGGCCCTGCTCCCAGAGGCTGATGGGCAAATCACTGCATTTCTACCGAATTGAGGCAATAAGCAGATAAATAATGCAGTCTCTCCTTTGTAGTGTTCTTTGCCTTCTGGGTCATAAATCTGCTCCCTGTTTAACTTTAGACAAATACCTCCTCTCTGATTTGGCTTGTCCCTGAAGTCCAGGAGGCTGCTAAGTTGACCAGTAGGCTTCAGAGTATAGCAGAGTGCAGCTGGTGAACTAACAGAGAACAGTTGCTATCATTTATTGAGATACCAGTGTGCCTCTTTGAGGAAAAACAGGTTGGTAAAAAAAAAAAAAAAATTATGTGGGTGAATGGGAACTTAGTTGGAATTTTTTGGATATTGGAGGACTGTTTACTCCTTTTCTGCCTGGAGTCCAGGTATTTGCACAGAAGCTCTGGAACCCAACTTGGACCCAACCCTGTAGATCAGCACCAATGCCTTGTTCTGTTCCCTGTTATGACTTAATCACCCACAGGCCCTGAGATTTTACTTAGCATTGAGGCTGGTAGGGTCAACTGTGTCAGTGTTGAAGGGTTCAGACTTCGTGTGTCTACTTCTTTAGTTCTTTGGAGATGATTGTACTTCCATAAGCACAGTTCCTGTGCCCCAAGCATGTGACACTGGCCAGAAGGATAGATCACACAGGCAAGTGGGAAGAGCTCAGCCCTAATATGTCATCACCTTTAAGGAAAAAGCAGTCCTATGTGCCCCAGGTAATGCCATCACATGCACCTCTTCTTGAACCTGCCCCTTCTCTCCATTCCTTTAGCTTGTTTCACCTGGATCATTTCAGCAGTCTCCCAACTGGTGCTTGGGTTTGTGGTTTATCCATCTTCTAATCCTCTGCGAGAATGATCACTGTGAAGTCACATTTGATGAAGTCACTCCCTTGTGTAAAACTCTTTGATGGCTCCCACTGCCTAGAGAGTAAAGTCAAAGCTTGGTGGCAAGCATGCAAGTGGCTCCTTGATCTGGGTCTTGCTGACCTTCCAGTTTTGTCTTTTCCTACTCTTCACCCTCTCTTCCACATTTTAAGTTCCACCCATATGACTGCAATTACAGAACCCTGAATTACCGTGGATTTTCACACAAGGGGCTTCCCTTGTGGCGCAGAAGATAAAGCATTTGTCTGCAATTCAGGAGACCCAGGTTTGATCCCTGGGTTGGGAAGATCCCCTGGAGGAAATGGCAACCTACTCCAGTATTCTTGCCTGGAAAATCCCATGGACGGAGTAGCCTAGTAGGCTATAGTCCATGGGGTTGCGAAGAGTTGGACACAACTGAGCGACTTCACTTTCTTTCACTTTTTACACCTCAATGCATTTGCTCATTTTCTGACATATATCTGATCTGTCCTGGCTATCTATTGCTGCATAACTAACCATCCCCAAGTTCAGTGGAGTAAAATAATCATGCATTATTAACACAAGCTCAACTGAATGGTTCTCACTTGGAGTCCCTCCTGTCAATGAAGTCAGATGAGGGCTGAGGCTGGAGTCATCTGGAAGTTCTTTTACTTATACTGGCACCTGAGCTAGGATGTCTGGAACAGCTCAGGCTGGCTAGGCATCTCTCTCCTTCTCTCCACATGAACTCTCTATGGGGCTACTTGGGCTTCCTCACAGCATGGCAGTCTCAGGGATGCTGGATCCCTTTATGTGGCATCTGGCTTCCCACTGAGTGTGCATCCTAAGAGACCCACATGACACTTAAGAGGCTTCTTATGAGCTAGCCTTGGGATTCTCTCAGTGTCATTTCTGCCATTTTCTTTTGGTCAAAGCACTCACAGGCCAGCTGAGATTCAAAAGGGTGAAGAAATAGATGCCACATCTTCATATGGGATTTCCTTGCCTGTCTAGAGAAGGTAGGAATTGATAATGGCCATCTTGGAAATATACAATCACAATGTCCTTCACTCTCTTATTCTCCTGGAAAATTGCTGTTTATTCATTTAATACCCAATTACATGGCTTCACTCTTGTGAAGTCATCTCTCTCCAACCAAGGCAGAATTAACCTCTAAGTCCAAGAAAGTTGTTCTGGAGAAACTTGGAAAATAAGTCAGGAAGGAAGACTGACCCTTGAGCATGTATCTGTTGCCATCCTTGTCACATTGCATCATACTTGTTGGTGTTTCTCCTACTTGACCATACTTTTTTTGAGAGCAGTGCTATACCTGATTTATCTCTAGTGTCCTTAGGATCTATCTTAGCAACCAACACAGGTGCTCAATAAATTAGTGCTTGAGGTAAGTGAACTGAATTACTGCTATTTTGTCATTTTGCCCCCAGGGCCTATCATTCTTAGAGTCAAGCAACCAATTAGATACAAAAGAATTTGAGGATCCCCTCCTATGTACCCAGCAAATCAGCTTCCATTAGAGGGCTTCAGTTCTTTATGATTTGGGATTCCACAAAGAGAGTAACTAAAATATTGAGTGTGTATTGAATGTTTATCATGTGATAGGCATTGTTCTAAGCATGTTATATGTATTAATCAATCAGTCCACACAATCTCATCTTCCCTATTATTATTGCCATCTTACGGATGATTAGATGTAGGGAGGCTAAGTAATTTCCCCAAAGTCACAAAGCTGAGATATAGACCAGGCTCCAGGGTCCATATTCTTGGCCTCTGTGCTCTTCAATAATGTTCTCTCCTGAGCTCAGCATTTCCAGAGGATGTTTAGCAGACTGTCACAGAGATAAGAAGGGGTGTCACATGAGGAACATCAAAAGGACAAAGACTGTTTAACCCGAGGAAGAGGCTACTTGGAGACAAATCCCTATGGATCCAGATAATCAAAGAACTGACTTGTTCTCAGCATCCTCTGTTGGAGTCAAGATCAGTGGTGTTTTGGTATGATAGAGAACTCTTTCATTGTGCTATTCCCTGATACTTTGGGCTGCCCTGAAAAATCACGAGTCCCACACCTCTTGGAGGAAGTTTGCCAGTGTCTCTTTTTACATTAATTGTCCCATATTCCACACCACTTTTTTTTTTCCAGTTTGTGAAAAACGTGATATTTCCTTACCTGGCATAAGCTTTTGAAAGTAAAACTTGTTTGTTAAGTACCATGCAGTTTTCTGGTGAAGAGCGTATAAGCTGAGTGTAACTATATGTTCCCTTTCCTTCTGAGCTTCACATACCTAGAGGCTCAGCCATCAGAGGAAGCTTAAATAATGTAGGAGGCATGACTCCGTGATATCTCTGGCTTTAGCAAGATTTACTAGTACCTATTTGAATAATGCAAGGTTCTCTTTTTAATATTGAGAAAATTGTGTATCTCATCCTGCGAAAACATCCATATTCACAATTACCAATTAGTACCCTGATTTGGCAAATTCCTGGCTACTTCAATTCAGCAATTACATGACTCAAACCACAAAAAAATGGTATGAGGCTATTTTATTTTTCTGATTTGCAGGCCGATTCCACAGTCATAGCTGAGATGACAGAGTGTAGATTGGAAACTATTCCCTTCACCTATTTCGTTGCAGACAGTGACTAAGTCCACACTGATTTAATAACAGGGTTTCTCAGCACAGCCAAAAGTCCGTGAACATTCAGCATAATTCAGAGGCTGGAACATTTAGGAGAACACTCATGCAAGAGCATTAAGTCAAAACCACACATATGAGGTCTCACCGTCCTGCATTTCTTATTAACTTTGTGCTTCTTTTTTTATGCCTTCTGCCTCCCAGCCAAAGACCAGTCCTCTCAGGGGGATGAAGAGAAAGACCCTCCAAAGAGCCACCCCTACTCCGTGGAGACCCCATATGGCTTCCACCTGGACCTGGACTTCCTCAAGTATGTGGATGACATCGAAAAGGGAAACACCATCAAAAGGATTCCTATCCACAGAAGGGCCAAGCAGGCCAAGTTCAGCACTTTGCCCCGAAACTTCAGCCTTCCCGACAGCGGGGCTCGTCCCCATGCTGTTCTTTCCCACCCGAACTGGTCCCCCGTGGTGTCGAGGAAAGTGCTGGGGACAGAGCCCCGAGCCCAGCCACTGTCCCTCGGGGATCACCCCCAAGCCCCACAAGCCGCCAGCGGCAGTGAGGTGAGCTACCACCGGAAGGCCCTGCTGACGGAGACGGCCAGACAGCTGGAGGCTGCTGCTGCTCCCGGGGAGGCTGAGCTCACCGCCGGGAGTGGACGGCCCCAGCTTCTGAGAGCATCCAGCATGCCGGCCACGCTGCTGCAAACCAGGGCCTCGGAGGACCCAAGCCTAAACTCAGGACCCCCCACCCCGCCCTCCCTCCCCCCACTTCAGGGTGAAGGCCTTGTCTGTGATGGTGCCTTTGGGCCCGCGGAAGGATTTGCAGGTTTTTCCAACTCCACGCCGCGAGCAGCAACCCAACGGGAAGTCAGAGAGTCTGGAGACCTAGTGCCAGGGATTCCGGAGCTGATCCGGGAGGGGCCTGAGCCTCCAGAAGGCGAAGAAGAGGTTCCAAATCACCTCTCTTTCCCGAGTCCACCTTTCTCGTATGCACTTGTAGTTCTAGAGGATGCAGAAGACCAACAGAAAAGCAGAGAAGCCCAGGTGGTGGTCACAATCCCTAGCTCTCCAACACCAAGCCCCCCACCTCTGCCGTCACCCATGCCTGAAAATGAGCTCCCCCTGGAAGAAATCGAGCTCAACATCAGCGAAATCCCACCACCACCACCTGTAGAGGTGGACGTGAGAAGCATCGGGATCCGCGTCACGGAGGAAAGCCTGGGCCTTGCCTCCCTGGATCCTGGCAGCATCTCCAGCCTGAAGCAGCAGATCTCGGACCTTGAAGGCGAGCTGTCTGGAAGAACTGAGGAACTGGCCCAGGTCAGAGCTGCCCTCCAGCGGCAGGAAGAGGAAATCAAGGCGAGGGGGCAGAGGATTCAAGAGCTAGAGTGCACTGTTGCTCAACTGGTAGAAAAGCTTAGCAGTGGGAACACCAAAGATGCTCAGGGCCAGACTGATGCTGTGGTCAACACTGACCCTCTGCAGGAGCTCTTGACCAGACAGTCGTGTGACAAGAGCATTGGGGTCAGCCTTCTGGGCAGCGTGGGCTCTGAAAGCTGGGGAGCCAGGGGAGAGGGGAATGGCCTCCTGTGGGGGTGGGAAAGTCACAAACGAGGGGATGGGAGCCCAGCAGGACTTGTGTCACCACCCCAGCCATCACTGCCACAGGGATCTGAGACAGTCCTCATGCCTTCTTTACACAGCTGCCTCTCTACTGAGCTCAGGATCGAAGAGGGAGGTTCTGAGCAGGCAGGAGGTCCTTCGGTGGGAATTAAGGGTCTGGGCAGGGGAGTAGGAGGATCTCCAGGGAGTGGCGAGAGAAAGGCTCCCCCAGCAGGGAGGGAGGAGGCTGGTCCAGAGCTGTCGGGGAAGGAGCGCCCTGGAAGGCCACCAAGCTCCCCCACCGATGCCACTATTGGGCAGTACGTTAAGAAGATCCAAGAACTCCTGCAGGAGCAGTGGAGCTGCCTGGAACACGGGTACCCTGAGCTGGCCCGCGCCATCAAGCAGCCTGCTTCCAAGCTCAGCAGCATCCAGAGCCAGCTACAGAGCTCCCTCAACCTGCTTCTGTCTGCCTACTCGGCCCAGGCTCCACCCCAGAAGGAGCCCCCCGGCCCCTCCTCCTCCCCACTGATGGGTAAATACTGGTGCCTGAGACTGGGAGCCATTTCTCCTTTACTTGAGGAGTCAAAGGGGAAAAAGGGTTTTAATTGCATGCATATGTTTTTTTAAAAGATTTAAACACATCTGGGAGCCCAGTGGAATAAAAACTGATCTCTGTAACAGTGGAGGCTTGGTACCCCTCCTCTTGTCCTTGCTCTAACATTGGGACTGACTGCAGGGCCACCACGTACAGCTGTTCAGATAGCGCAGGGCACAAAGATGCCAGAGGGTAAATGGGAGCTGAAACTCAGCCCACACTTGCCAAGCCCGCAGCACTGTGTCTGCCCAGAGGGGTGCCTCGTTCTCATTTGCCTTGTGTGCAGGCAGCCCTGGCCCTGGCTGTGAGTGCTTTAAACCTCTGCCTTCCTTAACTGTGTCTTGGGCTCTTGCATTCCTGCTGTGCTCCCTAGTTCTTGCACATTAGAGGTTTTTTGTAGCCTTGTTTTGGAAGAAATTCTGTTGAGATCTGAAATATTTAACTGAATTTCAGTGTGTGTGTGTGAGACAGAGAAAGAGAGACTTCCATACTCGCATGTGCAAGTCGACCCTTTGGCTGAGCAGCACTTCTTCCTGTAACAGATCACACACTCTTCCCTGTTAAGTGGAACCATATTTTGCTTTGCTTAACGGGCAGCAATGTGTTAGTCTGCTTCCTGCCACAGAGCACAAATTGGCTTTCTCATTATTTCGGTGCTAGTTCTAGTCTTAGCCCTTGTGAATTGCCCCCTGTACCTTTGAGAAGAGCAAAATAAGATGTCTGCTCTTGCTCATGTGTTTTCCATGCCTGCCCCACATCACAAGTATTAACCGACTTGTGAGCCAGGAAGGGCCTCTGAGGTGCAAAAGTGGGTGCTGGATCTGGGGTTGGGAGGCCTAAGTCCTGTTGCTGTTCTGTCATTTATTCAGCACATCTGAGCCTCAGATTTCCCCAGACTGAGATAGGGACAACAGTGGCACCCACACCACATGGTTCAACAATTCTCCAATAACCCTTCTCTGTCATCTACATGTAGAGGGTTTATAAACAGGAACAATTTGACTAGCATTGACCAGAAGGTTGGCGCTCCTCAAAGACCCTCGGAATATTTGATTTATATTGTCTAGCTCCCGTTCTACCCCTTCACACACCTCCAGCCTCTGTCCCCTCAAAGCAAGGGTCAACAGTTTTGTTGCACTTTGGGGTATTCCCAAGATTGTGCTAATCTGTGATGTTGTGTCTGCCTAGAGATCTCCCCGTCGACCAGCCTTAAATCCATAATGAAAAAGAAAGACTATGGCTTCCGTGCAGGAGGTAATGGGACCAAAAAGAACCTTCAGTTTGTTGGGGTAAACGGTGGGTAAGCATCACTCGTGAAGCCCAGACTGCCCTGCACACCACCTCTCCCACTGTTGTCCTGAACACTCTTTTCCTAGGGGGAAGCATCTGGTTTTCATTCTTCTTCAAGGGAATTAATCTCAACGGCCCTTTAAAACTCCCTCTCGGGTTTGCATATGTTTGGCTGCCTGCCAGACGTGGTAGTTCTGTTGGATCCTGTGCTCATAATATGTCTTGGCTTTGGTTTCCCGGGGCCAGGATTCAGTACCTTCTGGGAGTTGGGGGACACATGAGCCCTTGAAGGAAGACATTTAATCTGAACCACAACACTATGTCGACAAACCCTTAATTTGTAGAATTTAAAATTTCATCCTTTTTAATTTTTTCCTTCCTTTAACTAACTTAGGGCAAATCAAACTGACGTTTTTTAGGATGAAGAAAAACAACCAATGTCTGTGGACTCAGAACCTGAACCAGACCTTATATAGGGTAGACAGTAAACCGCTGGATTTAGAATACCTTCTCAGTCAGTCATTTAGCGAACATTTATTAAATACCAATGATGTGTTTGATGGTAGGGATAAAAAAATTCAAATAAATCCTGGTCCTTGCCCTTAACTCACACTGGACCTGGGCAGAGTTGAAACAAAAGTAAAGAGAAAACTTGGACCGGCTGAGCTGAACTCTAGTTGAGAAAGAAGCAGAGGATGGTAGGAAAGCCCAGAGCCGGGGCACCGGCCCCAGCCAGGGATGTGCCTGCGAAGTGCCCAGAAGGGATCGGAACCCTGGCTGATTTGGGTCAGACCAGAAGGAAGACACCAGATTCAGACAACGGGGTCCTCACTACTGTTTCGGGTTCTGTGAGGGAAACATCAGAAAAGATGAAATGGGGTCATAGGTGGGTTGCTATTCCCACTCCTGCAGCTGTCAGATATTGTGGCCCAGGAGAAACCACTTTTTTCTTTTACCAGCTTGTGTCCAGAAAGGAGAATCAGCCTAATCTCAAAGCCTAAAGCAGGTCCTGCCTCTCCCCTGCTTAAATACTTGCAAAAGTGCCAGCTTTGTACTAAAACCTGGAAGTCTGTCTTGTGACGATAGCATGCCTTGTCCACCTCCTCAGGCTCTGGCCTTTCTTCACTCAAACAAGCCGGGTCAGGCTGAGCTTGGGGAATTTGCATTTGCCTTTCCCTCCAGAGGAGGAAGTGGCAACCCACTCCAGTATTCTTGCTTGAAAAATCCCATGGACAGAGATACCTGGTGGGCTATAGTCCATGGGGTCGCAAAGAGGTGGACATGACTGAGCAACTGAGCACACACACCATTTAAAGTGCTCCTTTCTTTTTTTTACACATATATTTAAATTATTTTTTTATGCATTGTTTTAAAAATATTCTTTTTCATTATGGTTTATCCAAGGATATTGAATATTAAAAAAAAAAAAAAGTGATCCTCTTGCAGATAACTGTCAGTACGTGTCACTCTGGTGTGATGGTTCTCAACCTTGACTGAATCTAGTAAACCCTGGGGGAGCCTTGAAAAATATCAATGCCTGAGCCCCTCCCAGATGGAAGACTCTGGTTTAATTAGTCTCAGGTGCAGTACAGCTATTGGAAATTTTAAGTACCCTCAGATGACTCTAACATGCAGCCAATGTTAAAAAATTCTGCTCTAAATTAAGTGGCTCTTCCTCCCACCACAGTATCCCATGGCCCATTACTAGTTTATTCATTGTTCTTATGATTATCTGAATGCATTGTTCATGTGTTTGTTTTCTCCCACCCCCTACTTAGAGTTTCAGCTCAGTTAGGACAGGGATTTTGGAGTTTTCATGGAAGCAATTCTAAGATAAAGAACTGTTTGGTAAATTTAATATGTCCCCCCACTTTCTTAATCACAAAAACAAAAGGTTGTTCCAAGAACAGTAGAGGAAGAAATATCTGGGGTTTGAACAAGACAAAATGCGAGCATACCAGTGAGCAGGTTGGGTTTGCAAATCCAGTCAGCATAGGGGCCTTACATAGGGACCACTATTCAGAGAAAGAGCATGAGGGGATTCAGTAGAAAGCATGGCATTGGTCTCACCTCGTCTCTGTGGAAGTGTCCAGCGGGCCAAGAATCTGAAGTCTTCCTCTTATCTGGAGCATCCTCCATCAGAGGTCTCTTGTTGACCATCAGCAGAGAGATCAATAAGTCTTCCAGAACTTGCCTCCATGGTGTCTGGTCTACCACCTCAATAGATTTGCATATAACTGAACATAAGGATTATTGCCACGAGTGACCTACACCCACACCTTTGCTCTTCCGAGCTGCGGATGAAAAAGCAACTGAGAAAGGCAGGTGCTAGTTTCGGGATTCCCAGCTGTGGCCCAGGAGTAGACACAGATGGTTCTTCCCTTGCCAGGGGTGAGCTAGGCTAGAACAGGGGTCTAAAGGGAGGGTTCACTATCACCCAGAGATGTGAGGATTTGTCAGGCAATTCAGAGAATTCAGGGCAGGGATGGGGGCTGTTTGCCTAGATCTGGTTCCCTCTCTGTACAGTACATTAGGATTCCAGAATCAAATACTTTCATGAGAACCTTGGATTGCTTGTCTGAATCATCTGATTGCATCTGAATGCATGGCCAATTAGGCCATGGGCTATTTGTATGTTTGTTGCAAAAAGCTTAATTACCTTTACTCCCCAAATGGCCTCTAGTGTTAGAGCTCTTAAAAGCAGGTTCCACTGACAGTAAATTTCCTGGGAGTCCCCTTGCTGAGGCCTGCAGATATAGACAATAAAGGACAAGGTTAGTGAGCAGGCCAGTGTTATCTAAAATCCACCGAGTTCTCACCTGTCTTGACATGAGCACTGGGCAGGAAGCACAGAATGAGTGACCCTGTCTCCTTCCACAGCTATGAGACCACCTCAAGTGAGGAGACCAGTGGTGAGGACAGCTCCCCAGAAGACTTGTCTGACAGCGAGGCTGAGAAGAAATGTGATGGCCCAGAACCCAGGCGGGGCAAGGATGCCCACCTCAGCTGTAGGGTGGGCCAGGGCACCCCTGAGGGCACCCGCGACACAGACGAGGAAACTGGGCCTGGCGAAGAGCTCCCCCATCCCAAGACTGAGAGGTAAGTTAGATGGGGACCGATGGGCACATGATCCTTTGAAAAAGAGCAAGCATATTTATTCACCTTTGTATCCAGTCATTTGTTTATTTGTTAACTCGTTTATCCGTCTCCCTGGTGGCTCAGACGGTAAATTGTCTGTCTACAATGCGGAAGACCTGGGTTTGATCCCTGGGTGGGGAAGATCTTCTGGAGAAGGAGATGGCAACCCACTCCAGTATTCTTGCCCAGAAAATCCCATGGATGGAGGAGCCTGGTAGGCTACAGTCCATGGGGTCGCAAAGAGTCAGACACTACTGAGCGACTAACACTTTCACTTTCACTTTCTCCATCTAGTCAACAGTATTTATTTGAGTTTCAAGTCTATGCCAGGTACTATGCACTGGTTGAATGAAACAGATCTAACTCCTGCCTTCATGGATTATACTGTCATAGACAGAGCTCTGTCTATAAAGCTAACATGGTTCTAGCACTGAAAATGTAAAGGACTTGACATGCATTTTCTTGATGTAATCTTTTTAACAATCTGTAAGGTAGTAATTATTAGAAGACCCACTTTATAGATGTAGAAAGAGAGGCTTAGAGAAGTTAGGTGACACAACTAGCAGAGTGAGTATTTCAACTTTGGTTCTTTCTTTTGGGCTGCTCTGGGTCTTTATTGTAGCATTGGATTTTCTCTAATTGTGGTTAGCTATGGCTTCTTCTGTTGTGGAGCGCAGGCTCTAGAGTGCACAGGCTCGGTAGTTACATGGCATGGGATAAGTTGCCCCATGGCTTATGGGATCTTCGTTCCCTAACCGGGGATCAAACCCAAGTCCCTTGCATTGGAAGGCAGATTCTCAACCATTGCGTCACCAGGGAGGTCCCTCAATTTAGGTCTTTCGTAATTCTCCCGCGTGTTTTTCTGCCTCTCTCATTGGCCATGCTGACATAACCTGGACTTTTAAAGTGATGGGAGGTCATTTGGCATGATGACAAGAGTACTGTCTTTGGAGTTGGATATACTTGCTTCAAATCCTACATCTGCCACAGTGTTACTTTAGACAAGGTACTTAAGCTGTGGTCGCCTCAGTTTCCCCATCTGTAAAATGTGGATAGTAGCGTCCTGATAGATTTGGTCTGAGGACTGGTTGAGAAAAAGTATGTAACATGCCTAGTGCAGTGCCTGCCACATAGTAGACTCCATGTAAATGGGAGAAGTGAGAGTAGTAAGTACCATTAATTGTCATTATCACCATCCCCCGCCTGGTTGCTGAAGAAGAGACAGGAGTGAACGGCAGCTGACTGTCCAGCAGGGCCACAGGGTTGCTCCATCATAGCAGCACTGTAAGGACTTGATGAAAGTGGAGCTTCATGGTGACCAATGCCATTGACTCCCAGCCTAGGCCTCTCAGTGCTAAGCCTGCCCTTTGCCAGTGCAGCAATAGTGGGTATCATTGAGAGAGCCCTGGTGCTATCAATTTTCACTTGATTGACTCTATTAGTGCTTACTATATCCTTCATGGAAGAATAACCTGAAGAAATTTGCTGCTGTGGAGTGGGTCCTTTGGATTTTTCAAGTCACTCAGGGAGAAAATGTCTGCTCCAAATTCAGGAAGATAACCCTCCCTTTCCCAGCATGTCAGGAATGACAGTGGGGCCCGTGGCCCACTAAAATGCTTTGGTGATCTGACCTCGTCCCCTGAAAACAGCAGGATCCAAAAGGAAATATGCTTGGCTCATTCTTCAGAAGAGTTCAGAAGTCAGCCCTGTCCGACAGGAGGCTGTGTTCACTCAGTGTTTCTGAGGAATGCCCCTGACCCTGAGAAGTTGCCTAGTTTGGATGTCTGAGTTGCTGAGAAGTAAAAAATGAGAGTGAAAGTCAAGGTAGGGGACTTTTATCAAGATGGAGACTGATATATATATATATGAATTAATTTTTTTCTTTAGATATAAACCCTCAGAAGAATTCCTTAATGCATGCCGGGCATTGAGCCAACATCTGCCAGAAACTGGGACGACCACTGACCAGCTCTTGGTACTCTGATTTGTCACCGTCATGTGAAGCTTTCCATACTGTTTAAGCTGTTAGTTCCACCCGAGCGACTTGGGTCCTGCAACTGAGGCAGCTTTGTGGGTGTGCTTGGGATCCCTCTTTGCTGTGTGCCGTCTCACTTGCCCAAACTCTGCTGCCCGAGGTGATGGATTGTGTTGAGAAAGTGGAACCCGTGAATGTGCACAGGAACCAGGGCTGGGGCTCAGAGGCATTTACCAAATGTTATCAGGCATCCCACCCTGAATATGTCATGGAATCATTTGTGGCTTAGGCTCAAAATTACCTCACAGTTTGATAGAACTGCGGGTAGAGAGGAAAAGAGAAGGTGGAATGGAAACTGGGGTTCTATTCCCTGGACTGCCATCTGTGAGATGCTAAGTGAGTCAGTTCAGTGGTGGTTTCCTCATTAATAAAATGAAGGTGGTGAACTGCATATCTCCACTTTCTCAGGCCCTGGCATTTTGTTCTGTAGTCTTGACTGTTTTTCTTGAAGTTCACCTGTGGGTCAAGAGGCCAAAAGCAAGCAAATACATCTGTTTGTTCCCTAACACCATCATGGCCCACAGAGATTTAAACATTTAAGAATTAATTTCTGCTTGAATCAAGAGGTACTGATACAGATGCATTTTCCCATGTTGTGAGAGCCACAGATAAGCCCCAATATGTAACAGTGTGTAAGCATTTTTAAGGCCCATTTTGTTCTCCTTTGCAGAAAAGCCTTAGGAGTAAAAATGATCGATTAGTCCATTTTCATTAGTATTTTATCTTCGCTGATTGGCAAATAACTTGTTCCCAGATTGTTAAAGAACCAATATGTGATGTGGATATTGATTAAAACTCCTGCTACTTATTCTTCAATGAATTACAGAGCTAAGTTATTTCCTAGATCTTCAATTAAAATCTTCCACTATGTTCCTTAATATTAGGGTCTTTCTCCAGATTCTCCTGAAGATCCCATGGGTAAGGGAGATATTCTGATACATAAAAACTGTTTCAGTCACAAAAGAGTTCACTGTTTCTGCGTAGAAAAGAAATTAGAGGACATGCAAACTTGACATCACACACATGTTAGGATCAAAGCAGAGAACACCCCTCCCTACCTTAGAGACAAAGCAACGTGTGCAGGGACCTCATTTGGCAGAGCCTGAGAGGTTGGAAACCAAGCCCTTTTTTCACCCTCATTTTATAGATAGTACGAGAAGGATTCAAAATGTATTAGGACTTCCAAGGTTCTGCAGCTGAGCCAAGACTTAAGCCTGGCCCTACAAGTTTAGTGTCTCCCAATCCAGTGCCCTTCCTGGAATGAATATGAACGCATCTCTTACAATCACAGGCCCATTGTTTATCGTCCCCTTTAGGAAAATAATCTAATCACATTCCATTTAAAGCACTTAGGCCATGTCACGTGCAGAGTTGGTGTCGTTTGCTCTGGGATTCTCCTTACCTGGAATACTGCAGATAGTGGGATCCTGCCATGGGCTGTTTAACCATTTTCTCTGAAGGTCCCAGAAAAGCTTCAAAGCCAAAACTATTTCAAGCACATCTGCTTGGATTTTACTTCATGCACATGTTGGGCATGTTGTTTGTCTTAGCTTCAGTGTGCATTTTCCCCATTAATGTGACTCTCCAGCTATGCCTGTTAAAAACGTGCAGGTGCCCCAGTGGAGTCTGGGCTAGAGTCAACACGGGCTGGTGTAAATGTGTGAAAGAGCGGGTCGTGGTTATTCTGTGCTTATGGGGAATGTGATCTAAATGAACAGTGGACTCAAGCTGTCCCCAAGTAAAGTGTCAGGTTACTGGCTGTTGTGCTGCTCTCCCAGTCCTCCTGTCTGCCTTACATGATGGGGGAGCCAATCCCACAGGTTCAAAGAGTGGTGCTGTGTACCCGACACCCTGCTAGCTCTGAGCCCTCCAGGAGTAAATCGCAGCGAGAGTTGGAGGGAATTGAAGGGATATACGTGGAAGGAACCTAAGCTGACCTTTCCCAGTGGAAACTGACACTCCAGCTGGAGCACCTCGGTAGGTAACCTTCTGGAACTGGAATGTGTTGGTATTTCAGAAGCAGAGCTTGAACACCATCAGTCAAGAGTGGTTCCGCATCTCCAGCCGGAAGTCATCCAGCCCTGCGGCAGTGGCCGCCTACCTCCGCGGGGTCCAGCCTCACTCCCCACACTTGCTAAAGCTGCTTGTCAATCTGGCTGATGGCAATGGGAACACAGCTCTTCACTACAGCGTGTCCCACTCTAACTTCTCCATCGTGAAGCTGCTGCTGGAGACAGGTCAGGAACACTTGCGCCTCTGCTGACTGGGTCCCTCTGTGAAGGGCAGTTCTTGTTACCACTTCTTTGCAGCAAGGAACTTTTTTACTGTTCTGAATTCCTCCTGTACTCTAGGAGCTGGCCAGACCATTTTGCCTTTTATTATATCATGTATTCATGAGATCAACCTAGCAAGCTGCTGCGATATTTATTTTTTCTGAGATGGAAGCAAAAGGAAAGGAGGTGAGGTGGGTGAAGGTCCAGAGAGATGTTGAGTAGGAGAAAAGGGAAGTGAGCATTAGGTTCTTAATTGTTCAGGGTTTGGAGAAAGGGAAGACTGTTCCCTCTGGTGGAGAATCATTGCAAATGGCCTTGACTCTCTTAGGAGCTGGAAAAGGCAGTTAAGAGTCAAATAAAGACCTTTGTGTCTGCTGATACGCTACCACAAGGCTTGTAGTGGAGTTTCAACAGATTGTGTGACAATATCAAGCAGTCTAGGAGTGGTGGTATGAGTGCAGGGTGAGAGGACTGACTGAAGGTGTGCGGGTCCCAGTCAAATGTCACCTGTGAGTTTAGGAAAGCTGTATGAAGGATATTTAGGATGGTACCTACAAGAGATATAAAACCCCAGATGATCTCCATGGATTAGGCCCTCCCTCTACTAAGCATCTGGCACCTGAGATCTCATTTAGTCTTCATAACTATCCTGTTAGTAGAATGATTATCCCCTTTTTTATAGACAATGAAAGTGATGCTCAGAAAAGTCAACAAATTTGCTCCAGATCAAGCAATTACTAAGTGCACTGCTGGGGTTTGAAGTCCATACTGTGGAATCCAGGAATCAGAGCACATGCTAGATGTGTAATCCTAATTTAGAGGCCACAGGGGAAGTTTAAACAGGCATCAGGAAGTCCAAATTCCAGATCCAACAACTTTCCTGCAATGTGGATCTTGTTCCCCTCACCCCTCCACCGGCTTCCATCCCTCCCATGGTTTCCGCTCGCTCTTGGAACAGAAGGCGGCTTCCTCAGCCTGGCCTTCAGGTATCCCAGATGCCCTTCCTTTCTCTGCAGCCGCCATGTACCCTCCTTCGTTCCATTCTAGCCACATGGCCTCAGAGTCACCACACTCATTCCCTCCTTGGGACTTCTGCATTTTCTTTCCATCCGGATCCTTTCACCTGAAACTCTTCTCATGACTGGTTCCTTCTCATTGTTCAAGTCACAGTTCAGATGTCACCTCGGAAGGTGATCCATCTAAAGTGGCTGCCCCATCTCTCTCTAGTGGAACATCCTGCTTCTTTCTTTACGTGATCTCTGCTTGTCACGTCTATCTGAGTTCTAATAGAACTGAGCTAACCCAGGAGAGGCTCTGCCTGTCTCATTCCTTTCAGTATCAGCAGCACTTGGTCCACTTCCTGGCTCATGGTGGCTGTTGAGTGAAAATATTTGTTAGATGAGAGAGTGGATGGATGACCCCTGGGAGTTAGATTAAATTCCAGTAAGTTTCCCATTCTTCAAAATTCTCTTAAGTAGCCTTGAGGCTCTTTATGTGTATGGAAAGGTGATGTATATAATGATAACCTAAAGTTCTTTCTGCATCCCATGTCATCAGAGGAAGATAAATTTACATTTCTAACATTCTTCGTGGATTCATGGATACCATCAAAATGGTAGCTCAGTTGAGAAAGACACCCACCTATGCCTCTGGGTTCCATTTAGTGTGTTCAGTCTTAGGGCCTTTCATTATGGAACATGTATAACAGCAACACTACTGCTTAAAAGGCTTCCTGGGTGGTGCTAGTGGTAAAGAATCCTCTTGCCAATGCAGGAGACTCAAGAGACGCATGTTCAATCCCTGGGTGAGGAAGATCACCTGGAGAAGGGAATGGGAACCCACTCCAATATTCTTGCCTGGGAAATCCCATGGACAGAGAAGCCTGGTGGGTTACAGTCCATGGGGTCGCAAAGAACAGATCACCTTTGATTTGGTTGTTATAAACTTCTGCTGATGTTTTCCAAGATCCAGTCAATACTCATCAACCATAAAGTGGTTTGGAAGCTTTTCCCTTTAACATGCTGAAATAGCTAAACAGCCACAAGCATAAAGAATGGGGTGGGTTGGTTGGGAAGATGGCCTGAAAGTCCCATTCCTTTCCCTCACTGTAGAAGGGGTGTTGAGGAGGGCAGATCTCTCCCACTCCCAACTGGGCTCCCTTCCCAGCCATTTGTGCAGAATCTGGAGAGCACGTTACAAACTGTAAAAGGCTGCACCGAAGTGACTCATCATTATTGAGAATAGAGTCATGGGTGTACCTCCTTTGTGAACCGTGCTCTATTTTACCACGACCCCCCTGCAGAGGAGAAGCTGGCTGACTCGGAGAATGTCCAGTCAAGAGTCTGCCCCTCACCTCTGGGGAAGGTTGGTTTGCTCACTGGAGCTGCTCAGAAGCATTGCTTTGAAAGTGGGGTGTCCTCAGTCCTTTTTCAGAGCCCCTGGGGAGGAATTAGTCATTCTGCTGAGTTATAGGTCACATTTCTGAAGAGAGCATAGAGAGTCGAAACCTGAGGCTCATTTACACATCTTAAAAGCAAACATAAAATAGTCATGGGGTAAAAATTTTAAAGTCATTAACCAGGCAATGCAGATAGCTATTCCCGTCTTTATCAGAACAGGGTTATAAGGCATTGAATGGAGCTGATATTTGCCTTTCACAGCTCAGCTGGTCATGTCAGTGGTCAGAGAAGCTTCAGTGAGGAAAACTGCTGATTCATGAGCACAACTGTATCCATTGGCATCCCGGTCCATTATGACACATTTCTGAAGAGTTGTTTGGGGTGGAGGGACTGTCAGCCAAATATTATTTTTTTCCCCTTGCACAGAACTTATGAGTAAATCTCATTGACATTTTGTCATAAACCAGATTTGTTTTAATGCATATTGAGTCTTCAAGAGCAAGTAGCAAGGATGTGATGATAAGAATACCATTCTGGACAATAATAGCAGTAGCAGTTAATGCTCACTGAGTGTTTATTATGTGCTAGCTGCCGTTCTAAGTGCTCTTAATATATTAACTCATTAAATTTCACAGTAACCTACAGGTCCTTTTATTGTCTCCCTTTTACAGAAGAAATGCTAAGAAAGGCTCAGACTTTTTCTACTGAGATAGTTTTATTACTGGCCTAAAGAGATACATAGTTTTTCTCCTGAGCAGTAGTACAGGCAAGATTTAGTTTTTCATGCTGTGTGTGTATGTTAGTCACTTAGTCGTGTCCCACTCTTTGTGACCCCATGGACTGCAGCCCACCAGGCTTCTCTGTCCGTGGGATTCTCCAGGCAAGAATACTGGAGTGAATTGCCATTTCCTTCTCCAAGCTGTATACCCCTTAAAGGGCTTCCCTGGTGACTCAGTAGTAAAGAGTCTGCCTGCCAATGCAGGAGACGTGAGTTCGATCCCTGGGTCAGGAAGATCCCCTGGAAAAGGAAATGGCAACCCACTCCAGTAGTCTTTGGCTGAAAGTTCCATGGACAGGGGCCTGGTGGGCTATAGCCCATGGGGTCACAAAAGAGTTGGACACGACTAAGCAACTAAGCAACAACAACTGCCCTTAAAAGGTGGGAGTCCAGACAACAGGCTGATGATCTCCTCCATCTCCTTTGGTGGGAAAGGATGTGAATGCATATCCCCAGGGTTATGAAGCAGAAATTTCCCTTGAGTTCTCATGTAATACTTCATCTTAAAAATGTGCCAGTTCTTCATTCTCTTGTGAAATGTATATTCTTACTTGCTTTAATATAAACATTTGTGAAGTCTTTTTCTATTGTGCTTCTCAAATGAGTTGGTTATTCCCAGAAGATTTCTGGGTTTATCCTGGGGCGTTTTTCATGTCCTCTGATCCATTTCACAAGATATCACTAGGCCTTTGAAAGGACCTACAACCACAGCCAGTAGTTTATGAGTTACACATAGACACAGAGCAAGACCTGACATGCACACCTGAGGGCGACATGAGGCTGTGTGAGTGACGGGCTCTAGCGTCAGATAGACCTGACACTGAGTGAGTCCTGCCCTCGATTCTCCTTCACTGGGGCACTGATATAGTTTCACTCACCTTCAGTGTCCTCATCTATAAAATATGAATAACAGTGCCCCACTTTAGGAAATAAAGTAAGATCATAGGCCTTGGTCATCTCTGACTCTCCTCTGCGCCTTTTTTGCTAGGTATCCTCAGAAAACTTGTAAAGAAAGGTAGCCACTGTTAAAAGCTGCTAAAAATGTAGAATACAGATTCTACCACTGGGAAAGAATTGCTCTATTCTGTGGCCGTTTAGCCAGCAGGAAGCCTCCTGTTGAACAGGCTAAAGCCTGGCTTCCGGCATTTTAAGAGCTCTTCTAGCATCAGTGTTTCTCTTGCAGGTGTCTGCAACGTGGACCATCAGAACAAAGCTGGCTACACTGCTGTGATGATCACTCCCCTGGCTTCTGCTGAGACCGATGAAGACATGGCTGTCGTCTGGAAGCTCTTAAGAGAAGGGAATGTGAACATCCAAGCTACTCAGGTAGGAGGCATGAACATGATCTCCTCTTTAATGAATGCAGGCTCCTCCTAGTTTTATTCTGCCAGTGGGGTGAGGAACTCCATGCAGATCCAGTTTTTAGCTTGAGAAGTCTGGGCCCTCCAAGTGGCATCTATCCAAAGATTGGACTTCTGGTTTCCTTGGAGCCTCTTGAGGCCTGTCGGTTGTGAACTTCTAATCTATGTTCTGGGCTGAAACAGGGCAAATTCCTTCTGGGCCTGATTCCTTGAACTGAAAGTTCCCACAGATAGCATCTGGACAAGGCATTTGCTGGTTGTGATCTAGAAAGCCCCTGGAGGTGATACATAGAGGGATCATGAATCACAGAGCAGTTCCGAGGGTTGGGTTTTCTCTGTTCAGCTGCAGGGCCCTTCTACTTGAGAATATGGAACCAAGGTGTAACCCTTAGCCAGTAGGGCTTTGAGTCAGAGGGAGCTCCATGTGGAACAGTGGGAACTCTTCAAAAGGCCACTTGCCCATCGTTGACCAAGAGGAGAATAAGTGGAGTGCATTCCACTCTCCTTTCCCCCTGGAGTGATCATGGGTGTAGCCCTACTCTCAAGAACTATGAAGGGTCTGAGATTGTACTCTCCCTTAAAGCTGACAAGTTAGCTGCCACAGTGTCATGGATGCTGACAGAAGACACAGGACTCCTATGCCAAAGGCCAGTGTGGTACTCACAGTGGTAACAGTAGTCAGAGCATCGCTATTTATACCTGTTCCTGGAGTCCCAATAGCTACAGGGCGGTGTGAGGAGGAGCAGACCCCTGTGCACAGAGGGGGCTGTGTTACTAGAGAGAAACCCTGAGCTTAGGGGGACCTGAATCTTCCATACTGGATAGTGAGCATGACTGCCCTCTGTTCTGAAGGAGACACTACCTCTGTCTTCCAATGCTGTTCACTGTACGTTCTTCCTTAAAAAGACAGTGAAACAAAAGGCCAGATAGTGCCTCACTCACCGGATTGCAGCAAACCGAGATACCATAGAAAACGGTCTCCCAACAATCCATTTAACTCTGCTATCCACCCCAGCCCAAAGTGATTGCAGCTAAACCTGATGGCAAAGTCATTTTGCCCACTTCACATAATAGCAATCCTATTGGTGGCAAGAATCAGACGTTTATAGCTTACTTTCTGGTTTTTAAAGTGTTTTCACTCACCTATAGCTTACACCATAGGACTCAGTAAAGCTGTTTTCACTTCAAATAATGTTTTCCATAAACATAGTAAATCTTTTTTTCTCAATCGGCCCTCTTGAAGGCAGAATGCTCACTAATGATCAAAATATATGCCCTTCTTGTAGAGGAGAAACCGATGCTCTAGGAGAAGGGACCCATCCCACCTTGCCAAGGGAAGGAAGGGATTACACAGTGTAGCCGGGCTCTTCAGCGCCCCCTGGGGGTTTTAGGTATTAAGGGAGCCACAGGCATCAGGGTAGATAGGAGTGAGCTGGAAGGCCAGGAGTCTCCTGGGCTAAGCTACCTATTTCTCTCTGTATCTCCAGGGTTGGCACTGCACCACGCTGATAACAGTATTCTGTAAATGTTTGTTGAATTAAATTGTATGGAACCAGACCAGGAGGGAGGTGAGGAAGGAAAGGGTCCCAAGTCAGGCAGTGGGCAGACAGGAAGACATCTGTATATGACATCTGGCTTTCATACCACTCAGAGAGAGGGGCCTGGAGGGAAAACTGTGGTCTGGTTAGTACACTCAACAAGTATTACATCAGGACTAGGTACAAGCAAACCAAAGAGCAAAGAGTCTTCTCTGGAAAGATCTGCATTCCAGAGAAATGGGGAACCAGGACACCTAATGATACATTCCCATGGTGGTCAGACATTATCTCTAACACTCATAAAGACAATAATAGCTAAAATGTATACAATATTTGGGCTTTTCTAGTGGCTCAGATGGTAAAGAATCTGTTTGCAATGTAGGAGACCTGGGTTTGATCCCTGGATTGGGATGATCCCTTGGAGAAGGGAATGGCTACCCACTTCAGTATTTTTGCTTGGGAAATCCCATGACAGAGGAGCCTGGTGGGCTACAGTTACAAAGAGTAGGACACAACTGTGTGACTAACACTTTCACACACATGACATTTGGGCCTCATGCAGGTCCCACAACAGCCCCAGGGGGTAGGTAATACCCTTAAGCATTCCTGTTTTACCAGACCAGCAAAAATCACCAGGAGGTTAACTTATCCAGACTCACATACACAGTATGTGACAGGGCCAGCCTTTTTCTGATTGCAGCCCCCTTACTCTTCTCTAAGCCCCAGCCTTCGGGGCAGGGAAACATAATCTACCAGTGACTGCACTTTGGAGCCTTAATCAGTGAACACATCAGCCAACATGTTTTACTTGTAAGACACTGCGCTCAGAGCCACAGGGGATCTGAAGGGAGAGAAAACAGAGCCCTTACCTCATTCTTACAACCTTATAAAGCCTGACATTCAGTCAGAGACCCACCTGACCTGCCTGGAACCCAGGAGAGAATCGTAAGTGCAAAATATATAATCAAGTTTTATAAGAGTACTGTGTATATACAGGAAAATCCAGGGGAAATGATGATCAATTTATTATCAGAAAAAATATCTGCCACACATTTTTATATTTATACCCTTTATTTCATTTGACTTTCACAAATACTCTGACCAAGACTGACCGAGGTTCTGGGACACCAAGTGACTCTGGTCACACACTAGGAAACAGCAGAACCAGAGCTTTGTCTCACTCTCTAACTCTGATCCATTGCTATGTGTGCTGATTATTACAAGCAAGTGAAAGATTGTTGTCAATGGCTGTGGGCTAGCGATGACCATAGTACCACGCAGAGAGCTTGGTGAGAAAAGAGGGTTCTGGGTATCATTCAGCTGAAAATATCAGAGGCGTTCAGAGCAATCCCAGGCTTCCTAGAGGAAGTTAGGCTGGGGCAGGCAGTCAGAAGCTGTGCTCCTGACTTTTAAGCCCTCCGTTTATTCCATCATTCAACATTTATCAGCACGTACTTGGTACTAGGTGCTGGAGAGAGAGATGAAAAAGACTTAGTCCCTGCCATCAAAGATGTCACAGCCCATGAGAAAGACAGAGGTTGACATGTTGCAGAACCAAATGGTAAGTGCTGTGTTATGAAAGCTGTGCTTGGAGTGTAAGTCGAGGGTTTTAGAGAGGATGTACATTTGACTAGTGTCTTGGAAGAGGAGTAGAAGTTTGCCAGGCTCAGGAAGATACGTCCCATACCACGGAGATTCAGATCAACTATCATTTTCCAGAGAAGTCTTTCCTGCTTGTATGTAGGCTATAGAGGGGGTCCTTCCCATCAGCCACAACCTGACCACACCCCTGCTGTCTGTGTGCAGGGGGGCCAGACGGCGTTGATGCTGGGAGTCAGCCACGACAGGGAGGACATGGTCCAGGCGCTGCTGAGCTGCCAGGCAGATGTCAACCTACAGGACCATGATGGATCATCAGCCCTCATGCTGGCCTGTCGCCATGGCAACACTGACATGGTACGGCTGCTCCTGGCACATCCAGCCTGCGACAGCAGCCTGACTGACAAGGTGAGACTTATAGGCAATTAACAAGTGGATGTTTCACTTTCCTTCCTGAAAAGTACCTTGCCAGCCAGCAGGATTCAAGGAAGCATATGGCAGTAGCAACAGAATTAATCTCATAAGGCTGTTCTTGGGTTTAAATGAGATGACCCATGTAAATGCTGAGAGACTTGGGGCTGGGAAACCTAACACTCTAGCCTTTTACACCATTCGGAGGGGTTATGTCCAGGCCTGCTCTCAGCCCTGAAGCACATCTGATCACGGCAATGACAGTATGTGTTCTTTGAGGCAGCAGCTTGAGCAGTGAAGCTCTGCTGTCCACGGGGCTCCCAAAAGGCAAGAGGAAGAAACCATGTGAAAATCATATCCCCTCTTGGAAGTGGCCCACCTTACAGAGGGGCCCGTTTCATGGAGACACCCTGCCTGAAGCTGCATTGCCAGACACAGTCTTCTTGTAAGGCGATGGTGATGGCAGTGATGAGGATGGTGATGATGGTGGTGGTGACCATAATGAGATAACAGTAGTGAAGAGTTGACCCATGTCATGTGCTGGCTCGGTGCCAGGTACCATACCAAGCAGTTACCTCAGACCATCTTGTTTAAATCCCATAACTACGTTATGAGGTTGACTCTGTTGATGCCACCCATTCTTATGAGGAAACCGAGGCACCAAGTGGTGAAGTAACATATGCAAGGTCACACAGCTAGCTAGTAGAACCAGCTCCATCAGACTCCTAAGGACACTCATAGAAACTAACTCTTTCTCTGCATTACCTCATGAATCATCTCAATAATCCAGTCAGGGGACTTCAGTGATCCAGGATCCCTGGTGATCCAATAGCTAAGACACCATGCTCCCAGTGCAGGGGGCCTGGGTTTGATCCCTGGTTAAAGAATCAGATCTCACATGCTGACATTAAGAGTTTTCATGCCACAATTGAAGATCCTGTGTGCCAAATGAATAAATAAATGAATAAATCAATCAATAAATATCCAGAAGATCCAGTGAGGTAGAGTCTGCCATCCCTGTTTTGTACTGACAAGGATGCAGAGGCCTTGAGCACTTATGTAGCAGTTATAGGTCACAAGCTTCTTATTCTTGGAGTGAAAATTCAAACCCAGGTGTGACTCCAGTGTCCTTAATGCTGGCATTGTAATTTAATGCTTTAAACAGACTTCTCTGTATTTTCTTAGCATCCACAGTTCAAAAGGGACCAAGCCCTGGGGAGGGAAATAGCGCCCCCTTCTCACCCAGGGACAGCCTCTCTTACTGGGCCACCTCTGAACTCCCCACCATTGTTCCATCAGTGACTCAAGCTGCCAGGTCCCTTCCACCATACTCAGGCAGCAGGCAGACCCGCCCCTTGTCTTCAGATCCCCTGAACCCCAGCTTGTTCAAAGTCATTTCTGTGATCAGTGGAGAGCACAGACCCTCTTGAAATGCCTGTGGGAACAGTGGCGGGCTCTGAAAATAAGAGCCTCCTTTTCCAGATGGGATACAGTCAGACAAAGGCTCTGTGTCAATGAGCTCCCTGCAGGATTGGCCTGGGGCTGAAGGAGGTGGCCCCTTAATCTGGAACAGGCCCAGGGCCCTTTCAGGGGTAACCACGGCAGTGGAGGAGGCCTGAGAGGGCAGGCCTGCAGGATGGAGGACAGAAGCTTTGCAAGTCCCTGGTTAGCGGGTATCCTCAGGCAGTGAGACTGAGGGTATCTCGTGGAGTCTGCTGCAGACTAGAGAGCTCAGTGGCTGCTTTCAGGAGGTGGAGGAAGAGCCGTGGCAGGAAGACTCCATGGTTCTTCCAACAAATTGAATGATGGTTAGAAGTATGGACTTTTAAACACCCATGAGTTTGAAACTGGGCTGTGTAACTGTGCCTTTGGGCAGGTCACCTAACCACTCTGAGCCTCAGTATGCTTGTCTGTAAAGGAGGATAGTAATAGACCAGACCTTAATATGGTAACATTTGTAAAGCCCCTATTAGATAGCTAAGAAATATTTAGTTAATGGCAACTGTTATTGTTGTGAATAGGTGAATATTTATAGCAAATATAAAGCAGCCACTACATGAATGAGTAGGGACCAGGGCATTTGCGGGCCGTGTCTGGAGGGAATAGGGAGGATGAAGGTCTAGAGTTAGGAGGGGCCAATCAAAGAAGACTGGTCCTCAAAGGGAGACATGGTTCTCATTCGGGAGTGATTTTTCCCTCCAGGGAAGATCCCACAGTGTCTGAAGACATTTTTATCTGTTATAAGTATGTGCAGGGGTCAGTCCTGGCATCTAGTGGGTAGAGGCCAGGGATGTTGCTGGACATCCTACAATGTACGGCAGCAGTGAAGAATTACAAATTATCTGGCCCAACATGTCAGCGATGCCAAGGCTGAGAAACTCTGGTATAGGTTTCTGAATTACAGTACTGTTACAGTACAGTTACAATACTGAAGTACTGAACTTCTTGGATGAGAACTCATCCAAGTCAAATGCTGGATCAGGAAGAGCCAGACTGGTTGAGGACCAGGCAGGCTGCAGTTTGGGGGAGGGCTGGAAGCTGGGGAAGTAGGAATGGGGCAGCTAAACTGGAGATGGTGACAGAAACCCATCTTACGGGAGGGTGGAGAGGGTTAGGTGATGCCCAGCGAGCACAGGGTTGCCCAGGCAGTCAGTCAGCAGGCCCACAGAAGGTTCTAGACCCCAGCTCACAGAGGTCAATCAATCACCGACTGCCTGCTGAGGTTTCCCAGCAGGAGTTTCCCAAATTGACTTGGGTGAGAAATGTCAGTGGGAGATAGGGACAGCTGACTGGGGACCCAGCAAGCACCAAGCCCTGTGCCTCCTGCTGTGCATGGAGGCGGGGTGGCGTCCAGCCCTTATCATGATCACCATCTCGTTTCAATGTTCAGTTTCCTATGGAGACTTAGGTACGCTCTTGGAAAACTGAGAGAGAAATCATGTCTTGAAATTGGGTTCTCTCATCCTGCCAACATTTAAAGGTTGCTGTGAATGCAGAACCCCCAGAACAGCCAGCAAGGTGTCTTTCCCAAGTTTGGAAGGTAACTGGAGAAATTGATCACCCAGCCTCTTGGGGCAGCCAGAGTGATAGGATGCGGAGGTGGTGGTGAGGGTGGAGGCCTGCCCCCAACCCCGAGGCTCACCCTTGGAAGGGCTTGTTTGGGCAATGCCTCCAAAACACTTATTAAATTGAGAGCTTCTAGAAGGCAGAGACTATGCCTTGCTCATCTTTGCCTGATATGCAGTGGCTTCTTGTTGAGTTCTTGTCATATTGAAAGAGAACCCCCCACCAGACACACACACGCACACACACACACACACAGAGGTGTGCTGGCTGCCCGAGCCCACACACACACACACACACACACACACACACACAGGTGTGCTGGCTGCCCGAGCCCCTGCCATCTCTCTGGGCCTGCAGTGATGCTGAACAGGGACCTGCTGTTCCTGACTCCCACCAGAGCTGCGTGCCATGGACTTGTTCCCAGTGCTCGGGCAAAGGCATCTCAGGGACACACCCTCCCCAGGTGGTCCTCTCTGGCCACCCTTTCTGAACTGAATGGGGCCCTCCACTTTCTATGTCTGCAGTTGAAGAGCTCATAGATGTAGGCTGTCATCTCCAGGTGGGCCCTGTCAAATTTGCACGTGCCCCTGGGACTGACTCTGTGACTCTTGCCCGGTCAATCACACTGTTTGTATTATGTGGAGCCTCTGTGTTGATGAAGTGTGGCAGGGGACAGGCCTAAATAAACCCTGGGTGCCTCTGTGGGGCTTTCACAAGATGCCTCTGAGAAACATCTTTGCTTTCTTCCAGACTTGTCCAGTCTAGGAGCATATTCGTTAGGATTCAGGTGGCTCAAGTTATTGAATAACTTGAATACTCTCTGTTATAATGTCACTGGTATTCCCTCTTTCAACAGTGCATATTAGGACTGACCAGACCACAGGCATGGGGCCAGAGGCTGGGCCAGTAGAACAGGCCAGATCCAGTGTCTGACCTCATGGGGACTGAAATTTGTCGAATAACCCCACAAATATCAAGTTGCAAAGACTTCAGGGAAAACTTCATCTTTGTCTGTTTGGGGAAGCCTGTTTGCTGAAACGCCGCTTCTTCTGCCTGTCCCCCACCCTTCCCCCATACACACAGGATGATCATCCTCTCTGGAGCTCACTCTGCTTCTCTGCTGCTTGTTTGACCTCTGGCCATGCGTTATAGTTATTTACATGTGTGTGGGGCCCTGGTGGCAGCTAGACTCCGTCCTGAAGCTCAGAGAAGAGACTGAAGGGGTTTTAGCTGAGTGTAAACACTTCCTACCTGCTCCTGTGGAATTTCCACATTTTAGGAAGTAGCTTCCCCCATCTGCAGTAGAGAGCACTCTAGTAAGTCTTGGGTGGCCCCCATGTGTCAACCTATTAATGTTTATGCTGCAAGATGTAAAAATATTCACACATTTAAATGGGCTAAGTAAGGACCAGAGATAACCTTAGGTTGGATTTTGCCTCCAAACGAGTTGCCAAAAAAGTGGGTTTTGGAGCTGTTTTGGTTTCATAATTCTGGGTATGGGCTGGAGCCCTCATGGAGCTCAGCGTCTACTGCATCATGGCAGCCCTTCCTCTCATCTCTGTGCAGAGAAGGGCTGGTGCTGCCTACTGAGAGTTGCTCTGCCTGCAGCTTCTTCAGATAGCATGATGCAGCTCCTTGCACTGCAACTGTCACGAGAAAAGTTAGCATGGTATTAAATATCAAGAGGTAAAAATGAATGTGCCCTAGTTGCAAGCCCATTTCAAAGATTTGATCCTTAGGAAATAATTAGGAATGGGAGCATGCTTTCTGCACTAAGTTTATGATGGTGAAGACTTGGAAACAACCTGAATCTCCAGTAGAAGGAAAATAGTTCAGTAAATAATGGAATATTATACAGTGGATAAGAAAAACGATATGTTCTGATGACTGTGTAAGAGCAGGGAAAATCTCATAGCATATTATGGTGAGTTAAAAATAAAAGCAACATTCAAAATTGATACACATGATCATTCTTCTACGTAAAAACCAACCACACATTTGCATAGAAGAAAAGACTGGAGGGAAATTCACCAAAAGGCTACCTCTCATTTAGGTCTGTGTAATGAAATAATGGAAGAGTTGTTTTCATCCCTCTGTTTTCCGATTTTAAAAGAAAAAGTGTTAAAAACCAAGTGACAGTTCTTTATTTTCATCGGAACAGATTTCCCAGGGGTGAATGCTGTTTCCACAGAAGGGAGCTCGTTTCTGTGATCCTCATGTCGTTGGAGTCTCCTCCTCTCCTCTGAGAATGCTTGAAACAGACTTCCATGCCCTGTGTATATCTCTGGCTCCCAACTCACCCTTTCTTTCTGCGGTGGGAAGCAGATGGGATAAAAATTTGTTTTTCCTTTTCTTTCTCTCTTGTAGGCTGGCCGAACGGCTTTGTCCATCGCTTTGAAATCGCCCGCCCATGTGGAAATTGCAGGGCTGCTTCGGGCCCACTCGAAGCAGGGCCGGTCCCTGGGGCCATAGGGGCTGTGGAAGAGCTGGCAGCTGTGAACAGAAGAAGCACTGTTTGGACTCTTCCCTCGCCCTTGGAGAGGGCATGGGTCATAGCCAGAGGGCTGCGCCTGAAAAGAAGAAACAATGTCAAATATGCACATACATTCCTGTTGTATAATTTTGCTCATTAGGATGCTTTGTAGTTTTTGCCTTAGGCCAGGCCCCAAAACTCTGGACTGTAGAGGGGTGCAAGGTGCAGCGTGCATTGGTGTCGGCTAAAAAAATTCCCAAACATCTTCCGCCTCGAATTCCTCATGACTCTACCCTTTGCCACACCATGTAGTGAGCAAGCAGGCAGGAGCACAGTAGCAAAGCAATACTTTTTACATGGAATTTTAAAGTGTACCATCTTTTTGTTTTTTAATCAATTATATATGAAGATGTCCCATTGGACATGCATGTCTAGAGAAGAGGGGTGGGGAAGGGGTGGGATTTAAGCAGCTGCCCTGGCAGTCATTCTCTGGAGGACCTAAGGAGAATCACTGTGCAGGCAGGTGAAACTGAACAAATCCCACTGGGGCCTCTGTTTAGTTGGGGTTGACAGAGAAATCTTAAATTCAGATGAGGTAGGAAGAAGCACATTGGTGTCAGTGCCAGATACACAGTCTTGACCATTTCCAAGTCATCAGGTGGCTCCACTTTGCTCCAGGGAAATTGAAATTAAATAGAAAGTTATCCAAAGTAGTGAAGCACATCACGTGTATTTAGGCAGAGCCCAGTTACATAAGCTCTTCTAAATCTGTGAAAGAAACAAATGAATCAGAGTGAGCATCCTTCTCAGGGTAGGTCCATGTCATCTAGAAGCCACCTTTTTCTTCGTAGTAGTATCCTTGGTGGTTTAGTTGCTAAGTCGTGTCTGACTCTTGTGAGCCCATGGGCTGTAGCCCACCAGGCTCCTCTGTCCTTGGTCCATGGGATTTCCTAGGCAAGAATACTGGAGTGGGTAGCTGTTTCTTTTTTCAAGGGATCTTGCCTACCCAGAGATCGAACCGAGGTCTCCTGCATTGCAGGCAGATTCTTTACCCACTGAGCCACCTGGGAAGCAGCAGTACCCATGGCCCTCACAGTAATCCTGGATCACTTCCACTCCACCTTTATGAACGGACTGTGAGCCCTCATGAGGTTCTGAGGTTTCCAAGGCTCCTGGATGCAGAACCTGCCAGTGTGGGCTGCAGCAGGAATGTGGAGGCTGGGCCCAGTAGGGCCTGTTCTGCACAGACATATATCTCTTCTGAAAAGCTCCTTCTTAGACTTCCACAATCCCAGGGGCCACTGTGCATGGCTTTATCTATGAATTTGTTCTTTTTAAAAAAATCTCATGCAAAAAAACCCCTCTTGTATAAAAAGGAAAGACATCATAGTTGGGTGAGCCTCACACTGGCAACTCAAAAGCTTGAGTTCTCATCTGATTCAGATACAAATTTTCTTAATGCCCCTTGAGTGAGTCATGGTCCCACTTTCATCGTCTCTAAAAACGGAAGTTATCATACAACCTAACTCCTGGGGGTGCTGGGCGAGGAACAGCCGATGGAAGTCTTAGAGTCCAATTTGTAATCCATGAAGACTGTCTACACAAATGGCACAGCAAACGTCAGTACAACTTGTGATTCAAAAGAGAGGCTCAAAAGTCCTAGAGCAGGACACTGATGTGTGACAGTGTTGCTCAGAGAGAATGAAGCAAAGTATGATCTAAAATGCTTTAAATATGTTTGTTTTGACCTCAAAGCACATTTTAAGAGCAGAACCCTACATTAATAATGTGCTAGCCCAGTTCTTCTTAAACTTTGATGTGCATACAAATCACCTGGAGATCTTATTAGAGCTCAGTCAGTCTGGGAGGGAAGGGGGCTGGAGAGTCTACATTTCTAACCAGTTCTCAGGGGATGCTGACACTGCTGGGCCACACCACACTTGGGACAGCAAGACTCTGGCCTATCCTGACTGTTAATATATTAAAATGCTGCCTCTCAAGCTTTTGTCTCAAAATTTCTTTGCATTTCTTTGCTATCAGCCTTTGGGAACTTGCAGTGTGAGTCTTATCTTCTGTTGTGGTTCTACGGAGACCAGTAAGGGGTCCATGTCTCATGTTGCCAATTTCGAGTCTGTTTTTGCATCTCATGTTGGGTGGCAACTTGCATTTGGTCACATTTTAAAAAATTGTCTCACTTGAGTCCAGCTATTATATTAAGTACAGCTTATTTACCAGAGAAGGCAAACTGGTTTTCTTAGTTTGAAGCCACTGAATCATTATCGAAAAGATCTTGTCCACCGTTTCTGAGATTTTAAATATTTCTTTTCCTCTTGAGTCTGGAATGTGAATACATGACCTCAGCCCTTATAACCATGCCATTCCATTGAAATGTCTGAGCCCAGAACATTGTGAGATGAACAAGCACAGCTTGCCTCTTTACATTGTCACTGCTCTAAAATTCATTCCTCAAATATCTGCAGAGACTGACCAGGTGCCTGGCCTGTTCCCAGTATGGGCTGTTAGAAAGTAGCTGTGGTCCACTCTTGAAAACCAGTGTCTAAGGTTACCATGATCCCAGTCTCAGGTTTTGGAGGACTTTAAGCCATGGGTCCACTGATTAATACAATTATTAAGTATCTGATGGCACAATCTCCAAGCAGCATAAATCAGGCTCCCTGGAGACAGGTATTAACCTCCGGCCCAGGGAGAGACCCACAGGTACTTCGCCTTCCCTCATTGCAATGCAGGAAATTCTTGCAATCTACTTTTGAAAGACAAGACATACTTGCTAATAGTTCATTTCACAAATAATTCTGGAGTGCCTACTGTGGACAGGAGCTGGGCTCAAATTAGAGACACCGGGGACACAATTCAGATGGTCATTGCATCTACTTGGGGAACAGTGGTGAGAAGGAAGCCCAGAACACTACAGGGTACCCATGAAGTGCACCAGAGCTGGTTTTAGGAAGTCAAAGGAGGCTGCTAGAGAAAGAGGAGTCTAATTGAAAATAAATTAGTGGATATTAGTTAGAAAAGGAAGAGGAGTGAGTGAGAGGTGAGGAGAAAACTGAGCCTGGCAGTTAGACTAGGGTTGCCAGGGCTGAAAGATTTGAGAGCCAGCATCGAGGACCTTCATTCAATTTAATCAAACTGCTGTGTAGAGTTTGATAGAGACCCTGAGACCAAAGGGTGGATTTGGAAGAGATGAAACAGAAAATACATGGTAACCAGATCATAAAGGATCCTAAAGCTGTGATTTCTTTGTACTAAAGGCAATGAAAAGCTATTGGTTTATGCTGGAGAAATTAATTTGTCTAACTTTCATTTGACACAGATTTCTCAGGTACTTACTCCCTTCCAAGCCTGTGTTTGGGGTTAGGGACATGCTGGTAGGCAAGTTAGAGACAGGAACTTATAGGTTAGCAGGCAAGAGAGACAAGTCATTTTGGCCCAGAATAATGCATGCTGCCACTTGGAAAGTACAAGGTGTGATGGGGACACAGATGGGACCCTCAGCCTAGTCCGAGGGTGAGGAGGGGATCAAGGAAGCCTTCGTGAGGACTGTGTAAGCACTCTGAAGAATGACTAGGCATTAGTCTAGCAAAGAAGAGCTGAGGAAGTATGCATTAAAGACTCAAGACAAGGGAGAACATATTTGGGGCATTAGAAGAACTCCAGTGTTCCTGGAGTAGAAAAAAGGAGGGATCTCAAGATGAGACCAGAAGGAAAGCCACTATAACAAGACGTGAAGGAAATAGGGACATAATACACAATGCTCAGATTTACATTTTAGAAAGAATATTCCAGGCTTGAGGGCATGAGTGACATTGTCTCAACAAACATTTGTGGACTATTTATGCTGGGTCCTAGGCTCCAGAGTTCATGGTTTGGTGGAGGAGAAAGACATAGGCTGACAGCAACTAGGATGAATACAATGGAAGTCTAAATAGTGCTGGGGTGACTGACTTGACCAGACCAGAGGGAGTGAAGAAGACTTCAGAGGGGTCAACTTTTAAGCTAAGCCACAAGGATGTGTAGGAGTTTGCCCAGGCTTTCCAGTTAGAATAGTAGGCATAAAGACGTGGAGTGTGAAAGAGCATGATCTGTTCTTCAGAGTCATTTCAGGAGGTCTTGGGTTTAGGTTGCATGGGACAAGTGTCCAGAGAGGAGAAGTGAGAAGAAGGTTGGTGGACACATCTCACTTTTTCATTAATTAGGGATTTAAACTTGAGCCTATAACTTGAGGGGGAATCACAGACTCCTTGAATCTGAAGCTTTCTTTGGAAAAATGCACATGTGTGACAAATATGCATATAATTTCAGGGGTTCAGAAATCTGCAGTTAAAATCTCACTTCTCTGAGCAGTGGAGCCTTTGAAGACCTTATCACCAGTGGAGCCGCACAATCAGATTTCACTTTAGAAAGATCACTGGAGGAGGGTGGAAAGAGACTGGAGGCAAAAAGATCTGCTAAAAAATTCTCTTAAGACAAAAGTTATGAAGCTGTAAGGGCTATTCCATTGTGGTATCAGCAGGGATAAAGACTAGGGTAAGGCATCAGGAGTGGTCATGGGCCAGGATGTGATGACAAATGGATTGTGGAGTAAGGTAAAAAATGAGTTACAGGGAAATGTTGGTGCCTCTGTCCCCAATATCTATTCTTCCCATCATTCTTAGTAGTAGAATCCCCAACTTTTAGCTGGACACATCACTACCCAGAACAGACTCCATCTCCTAGTAATCCTCACAGCTTGATGTGGCCACATAACAGTTACTTGTTCAGTAGTGTCCAGCTCTTTCCAATGCCATGGATGGTAGCCTGCCAGGTTCCTTTGTCCACGGATTTTTCCAGACAAGAATACGGGAGTGGCTAGCCATTTTCTTCTCCAGGGGTTCTTCCTGACCCAGGAATCAAACTGGGGTTTCCTCCATTGCAGGAAGATCTTTACCATCTGAGCTACCAGGGAGCCCCTGCAAACCCTGGCTCCTGCATTTAAAGAAGAGTGGAAATGCATTTCTCCCTTCTCACTGGCTGGAATGTGGTAGTGATATATCTTGATTCATGAAGGTGAGGCTAGCAATCTAGGGATCATAGAATAAGAAGTCAGAAAAAACTTAGGCCCCCAACATTGCAAAGCATTGGATGTGCTCCTGACTATTTATTCCCCATCTGCTATGTGAGTAACAAATAATTCTCTAACTTGTTTACATCATTGCACGTTTCTAATCTGTTTCAGGAGAAATAGGACAAGTACACTCAGCATCCCAGGGCAGTCTAAAGGATCTAAAATGAGATTATACAGGCTGGGAAGAAATATTTGCAAGTGATACTATCAACCAGGGCTTAATTTCCAACAAACAGCTCATACAACTCAAAGAGTCAGACTCTACTCAGCTATTAAGCACACATGTATACAACTCAATAACAAAAAAACTAAAAAATGGGCAGAAGACTTAAACAGACATTTCTCCAAAGAAGACATGCAGATGGCCAATATGCACATGAAGAAATGTTCATCATCACTAACTGTTAGAGAAATCCAAATCAAAACTACAATGAGGTACCACCTTAACACTGGTCAGAAAGGCCATCATAAAAAAGTCTACAAATAACAAATGCTGGAGTGTGTGGAGAAAAGGAAACTTTTATGCACTTTTGGTAATTATATAAATTGGTACAGTCACTGTGAAGAACAGTATGGAAGTTCCTCAAAAAACAAAATAGATTTGCCATGTTATAAAGCAATCGCACTATCCAGACCAAACTATAATTAAAAAATACTGAACCTCTATGTTCATAGCAACACTACACTATCCAAAAAATAAAATCAACCTAAATGAGCATTGACAGATGAATGGATAAAGACAAATGAGAGATAAAGAATATATATGAGTGGGTATATATATATATATACACACACATATACAAAATGGAATAACTCTCACTCAGCCTAAAAAAAGAATGAAGTAATGCCATTTAAAGCAATATGGATGGACTTAGAAATTATCATACTATACAAAGTAGGTCAGAAAGAGGAAGACAAATATCATTTATCACTTGTATGTGGAATATAAATTATGACACAAATGAACTTATCTACAAAACAGAAACACAACGCTATATGATATCACATTTGTGGAATCTAAAATATGACACAAATGAATTTATCTATGAAATGGAAACACAACACATATGATATCACTTACATGTGGAATCTAAAATATGACACAAATGAGCTTGTCTATGGAACAGAAACAGACTCACAGACATCGAGAACAGATATGTGGTTGCAAGGGGGTAAGGGAGGAAAGGATTGGGACTTTGGGATTAGCAGATGCAAACTATTATTTGTAGGATGGATAAACAGCAAGGTCCTATGTGTAGCATAGGGGACTGTTGATCCAGAAGAGGGTGGGAGCAAAGGCCAGGACCCGTCTCTGCTCTGCCTTCCCATAGAGAGGATGCATGC